GTTTGACCTCTTAAAAAGGCACTAATTAATATAGCATTTAATTTTAATGGACTGAGTAAACATTATTTACCTGCATGTCACTGCTGATGTAGTGATTGATGGATCGTCTCTCCAGTATGATGAATCCAAATTGAAAGGCTTTTCGTCCTTAATGGGAAGCCCATTTTATGTCTCCTGCTTGTCCTATATCAACTGCCTGATAAGAGTAAAAAAAACAACAATTAGATTGCAGGATTTATTAGTGTATTTAGGGTTTGCATACAATATTTTGTAAGATTAGCTACGATTGGCTATTGTATGCCCTGTTAGCACAGTTTTGATTGTTATGTCTGTATGTGTTGTTTATTTTATGTAGGTTTGTTTATGTATTCTTCTATATTTTTTACTGTGTATGATCTATCTAATTTTGTACTTTAAATATATAAGCTATTTTAGGGTGCCTCTTAACATCTGGCCAGAGACATCAGATGAAAACTATAAGCAAGATAAGCAGCAGCATAGGAGGGAACCATAGGAGGAGTCAACAAAGAAGGAAAAAGAGACCATACTAACTGAACAGGTAGAAATGAACTCATTTATAACATTAAAAAGCAGTACTGACACCACTGGCACAAGAGTTAGATCCAAATAACCTGAAGTTTTGTGCAAGCAAGAAATACCGTGTCATGAGACAGACCCCTGGATCGAGAGAGCTGAGAAGTTACCTGTAATTTAAACTGTAACTTATTATAACCCCATTTATTCTCATAATTACATTATCTTTCTCTGATTATTGCGAAAAACATTACAAAATTGTTTCCTGTCTACTTTGTGTATTGGGGTAGACATATGATTGAATGATCCTGTCAAAGACGGTGAAAACGATAAATTATCAATGTTGAATAAAAGCTAAATTTACCAGCTATTCGAGCTCAGCTCCTCATAACACTTAAATGATGTCACTTCCACTTAATCATGTGACTTAATATGACAGTACATTTTTTTTATGGCTAAATAAGCTGGTGTGATGGGGAGGCAATGCAAAACTCAAGGACACAAATAATTATTCATTTGACTTAATAAATATAATAAATATATATAAATAAACATTTATGTAAAATTTATTGAAAGTCAAAGTTCAAAATACATTTTGCGCTTTTAACACTTGGACTTTAGACTACAGTATTTTTGCTTTGAGTGACCCTAGACTTTAATTATGTCTATTTTATTGAAACAAATGATTAAACACTCCATTTTGTCACTACCAAAACAATCACAACACTACCAAAACTTTACCAAATGTTTCAGTAGTGACAACTGTAGCCAATTCTCAGCATAACTCAAAGCGCTAGTCAGAGCATAACTAGCAAACACAGCTTTGAACAGTTTACACATCATATTTTCATTAAAACACAAAAGCAGCGGCGTGTTTATAAACCGTATAAGCCACACAGTGGATTCTGACAAACTCTTCTACAAACGCGGACGCTGCAGCTTCATCTACACAACAGCTGAAGACGGTAGAAGACGCTGAAACATTAAACACGTATTTAAACCCATTCAATCAGGCTCCGAAAATTCTTCCAAAAGGATGCCAAGACTGACCTTCTCAGCTTCCGTAAGCTGCATCACTTACGTAAGACAACAGTGCTCAACGCACCGTCGTTTTCGTTTAAATAAGCGTGGTATGCGTTTTGTTGGGGCTGAATGCAGCCCAGGTGTCCACGATTAACGATGCAGTCTCACTTCCTGCTCTTACATGCAGGGTGTGGCAAAAATGATCCACATATCGACTAAAACTCTCTGTGTTTCGGTAGTGACATGAAAACGTGGGACATTTTTGAATAAAGATTTTTATTTTCATTTAAAATTTAAACGCATGATAAATCTAAGTCTTTGTAAATAGTTATTTTTACTGTGGAACTGCAGTTTGAACTAACTGAATGAATGAGTTGAATGGTCCCTATATGACAATGTGGAAACAGATAGTCATCTAAACAAGGCAAAGGTTTAATCATAATACAACTTTTATTTTGTAATATTTAAGATGAAATGTAAATTCTCTGATATGGATATGTAATTACTAAAAATATATTTTAAAAATATATTTTTTTCCACTAGCAATAAATAAAAAAGCATGCACTATGTTAATGATGAACTTTGAAATAATTAAGCTTATACACTTATTAGAATTACAACGTTCTGAAAAGTAACAGCTCTGTAGGCCTAATTTCAGTGTATTACCCAGATGCTTCACAGGTTTAGTGTCTTATCTGTTCGCTCTTGTTAACTGGATGAGGTTATATAACTGCAATCAAGTGTCTTATATAATCAAAGGCTCAGGCAGGCTCTTGTTGCAGAAAGGACGGGCAAAGGCAAGGCACCTGCTCCCCACACGTCTTCAAAATGTTCAGTTTATACACTGAACATGAGATTTAGCCGCCTGCAAACCTAAATGTGACATTTGTGTTTATCTCCTACTTACCATCTACCTTTTACTGAAGAACATGGGTTTGGTTCGTGTTCATCCAGGGAAAGAAGCAGAACACACAGGAATTTACACACCTGCATGCTGTTAGCCTCACTAATTGGAAAGAATGAAAAGAATGAAAACATTTGCTACTGCTGTAACATTATTGGCCAACATTATCATTCTCCACCAAACACCATCGTTCTCTAACCAGTCCTATCATTCTCCACCAAACACCAATGTTCTCCACCTAACACTATTATTCTCCATTAAATATTGTCCTACAACCAACATTCTCTAACCAACATTATCATTTTCCTGCAAACATTCTCTTACAAACACCAACATTCTCCTAAATTCTAATTTTCCCCAACACACAGATGTTCTCCATCAAACACTCATTATGAATTTAGAAGTTATTGCTGTAGGCTTGATGTTTTCAACATGTATTGGGGGATAAACTGATCATACCGCTCATTTATCTTCTGATTAGAGAGTGATGACAGAGGATGGTGGAGAATATTGGTGTTTGGTGTATAATATTGTTGGTTAGAGAATGTTAATGGAGAATGATGGTGATCAGTGAAGAACATTGGTGTTTGGTATATGATAGTGCTGCTTACAGAACGCTGATATTTGGTGGAGAATAGTGTTTGGTACATAATAGTGTTGGTTAGAGAATGTTGGTGTTTGGTGAATAATAATGTTGGTTAAAGAATGTTGATGGAGAATGATGGTGTTTGGTGGACAATGTTAGTGTTTGGTATATATTAGTGCTGGTTAGAGAACTTTGGAGTTTGGTGGAAAATGTTAATGAGTTAATGATGGTGTTTGGAATAGTGCTGGTCAGAGAATGTTGGTGTAGAGAATGTTGATGGAGAATGATGGTGTTTGGTATATTGTTTTGTTTAGATATGCTACTGGTTAGTGGTGTAAAATGAAAGTGTTTGCTGGAAGATATTTCATTTCTATATATACTTTTTGGTTGTTTGTTTTGGAGCATTTTGTGTAGACTGCTGGTATTTGATGGAGACGTTTGGGACGTATGCTTTCCCAGCCAACAAACCCCCAGTGGAGATTCACGATGTTTCAGAACAGAGAGGGGGAAAAAGAGTGAGTCAACATGTCAGCACTGTGTGGAGAGGAGACAGCTTTAGGAAAGAAACTCCGCTACTGCTCTAATCTGCAGTCGTGATCCCCTCTCCTGAGCTTTTGGGCCTTTCTAAGACAGATCCCTCACGTTCAAGCTGCACTAATTCTCTTCCTGACCTTCAGCAGAGGACACTGCTATTTTCTCTCCCACACACATCTGAGGACCCGGTATACAGACGCAGCCACACAACGCTAGCTCTCTTCAGCTCTTAGACACTTAATCAGGCTGAATCAAGATCTACTCAACAGTCAAGAATCCTACAACACTGTGCTAAAGACATTAACCCCTGCGTTATCACACTGCTCCTGCCCTCCTCCTTTATCTTCACCCAGCTCACCTCCTATTGCCACTGCTCCTCAAACCATTACCCAATTCAGAAATATTGATCACAACTCACACGGCACTAATTACAGTGAAGCTGGGAGGCTCTATATCCTGAGCTACATAGGAACCTTCCCAAGGACATGTTTCAGTCTCAGTGGGGACAGTGTGGGGACATCCATCCCCTACACTTTAAACCAAATCACATTCTAAACTTATCTGCAAAGGACCTGGTGTGGCTACAGGTTTTCATTCCATCAAAGCGGGAGCACACACGATCATTTGAAGGCTGAGCAATAGATTTAACAAGTAAAATGAGGTGTGCTCTGGATTGTTTAGAATAAAAAAAACGGCAACCACACCTGCCTTTTGCTGATAAAATTGGAATCCACTTTTCTAAACAGCGTAAACTTAACACATTATTACATTTACAAACTTCAAATGAATGAAGTAAGCGTCCATCACCTGCCTTTTAAAACACACACTGAACACTATTCAAAATAACCAATTATGTAGCCAAACAGCCAATCAGTTAACTAGTGTACAATGATTACAAAAGAATGTCTATGAAAACAATAATCCACACCACCACAAACGTCTGAATGTGAATGGTTTGGTGGGGGTTAATTTTGACATTCTGTCCAGTGTTTTTGCACAATGAAGGACAGTCTTCCATCTAAAGGCATATACTAAAGATGTTCTTATTCTCTTTACTGCAAATATTCGATCAGGCAGTGTCATATGTTCAAAATGGTCATACAAATCCAAAACATCTATTTGCACATCAACATGTATAATGTTATATATGTAATAATAATGTTATTGTCCAATACTCTATAGTATAAACTCTGAAGTTCTTAATGGTTGTAGAAAACAGGATGATTCATTGTGCAGTGAAAGAAGGGGAACCCCTACAATATGCTGGAGACTCTTATACACAAGGTGACATTCCAGTATGTATTCATTATGCAAGATTAAATACTGACCACATGTAACAATGCTGCCATCTACTGGCCAAAAAGTGAGTGTAGACAAACAGCAACAACATACTGCTAAACCGAAAGGATAAAATTTGGACCAATTCATTTTCCCCATTTTTATTGAAATTGAATGTATGAAACAATAAGCTAAATTCATCACACATGAAAAACAAAGTAATAAAGAAAATCCGAGTGCCTTATGTTGAAATCCTCAGAGACGTTTGTACAAACCAAGATGAATTAAAATAGCACTTAGGAAATTTTAGGGTGTGGCTTCAGTCACACGGGAGAGTTTATTGGTTTTAAAAAAAACAAAAAACAACAACAAAAAAAAACAAAATATATATATTACCATTTACTGGCTTGTTCTATTCAATTCATAGTTTTCAATAAAAACAAATTCACACTACTTGGATCAGGGGTGCACAACTCCGGTCCTGGAGGGCCGGTGTCCAGCACAGTTTCCCTGCTCCAACACACCCACTTAAGCTGGAAATTAACAGATAAGTGTAATCAGGTGTGTTGGAACAGGTAAATCACCAAACTGTGCTGGACACTGGCCCTCCAGGACCAGAGTTGTGCACCCCTGAGGTTGATGCAGGTAATATGGACTTAGGCACTGCTGTAATCAATTCATAGGAATTTCAGCACAACAGATGCCAAGTTATAGACTGAGAAGATGGCCATAATAGTAAAACAGGACCAGAGAACTTGAAACACATGGAAATGCAGCCAAACCAAACACAAAGGCATGAGTTAAATCTTTGAGTGAGGCAGAATTGTGACTTGTTGGTAAGTAACATTCACCAGACTGCAAATGCTAAACTAATCATTGACTTAAAACCTGTGTGAATTATTCAGGTCCTGTATTAGGTCATTACCTTATCACAAATGCAGCCTGATCATCAGGCTGGACCAAGCCTTCCATTCAGAAAATGAAAGCTAGACTTAAAAGATGTTAGAAAATCTATCATCCATTTGTGAACATAACCAAGATGGCAAAACCCTCCCCAAGGCATCAAGGATGTAACTTATGTGATGAGCTTAGACAAGGAAATAAACATCACATAGTAGAGAGGGTTATAAAAAATTAAATAAAAATGTAAGAGTCAATGACTATTGAGCCTTTAACAACAGGATTACGTTCAGTCCCTAAGTCCAGTTCAGTATGGGTTCTCCATGACGCTCCTTCAGGATTAGGTGGGAGGCTTCAAGTTAGTGGCTAGTGGTGGACAGTGGAATAGTCTGGGCTTTTTGCTTGTTTACAGGAGAACATCTACAGTACAAATACAGCAGGGCTGCAGCTCCCTGCTTATGAACCATTCTCCTCCTTTGCCTGTTTAGGTGCTGGTGCTTCAGCGTCTCTCCCGTTGGACTCGAGAGCTCTCTTCTTTGGACCAGTGTTATCTGTGAAAATGAGAAAAGTCAGTCAACTCCTCATTCCTGTATTTAAACTGAGCTAGATACATAAAAACTAGAACTAGGACTGCATGATATGGACATAAAACACAACGTTTGATAAAGCTGTTGGCTATCATGACCACACCACCACACAAAGGCACCAACCATTATTGCACAAAATACAAATAGCTACTTGCATCAGGACTGCAAGCACGTTTTATGCACTGTGAAAAAGCGATAGAAGGAAGGCTGAGTGGTGCCAACACAAAGTCGGCAGAGTCGACGATGCCACAAACTTGAGCAGATTAGGAGAGAAGTGATGAGGCGATTACCAATGGGAATCGAGCAGGGTTTTTGTGCTTTATCTCTGCCACTGTGAAACGTTATGACCCTTTCTTGGTTCTTAAGTATTTGCTCCTACTAAAAAGGGAGGACTGGCAGCGAGACAGCAGCAAATCGCGAAGACCAAATACTGTCTTGGTCTTATACTTACACAGTCTGTAACCACTAGACAGTAAATTGCCAGTACAGACACTGAAGCGAAACACTCCTCTTATGAAGCATCAAAAGCTATTTGACTGCTAATAATGCCCACTGTGGAGAATTTGTAGCCTATGAAATGTCAGGACATCCTATGTGGTGCTTCACCCAAAAAAACAACAAAAAAAAAAAGTCACATATCCTCAAACTGCTTCCCCCCCTCAATTTGTGTTTGCAATCAGTCTACAAACAATAAATATGAAAAAAGAATAAATATGGTATATTTTTTTTTCAGTACAGGCATACAAAAATAAAATACATTGACGTTGTCAGAATAAAATTTAATATCTTCAAAAAGGTAGCGGAGAAATTACTTTTTCCAAGTCAGTTTGGAGCATTTCTATTGGTCCATTCATTATGACAATGTCTTCACAGATATTTGATGGCGATTTTAAATTGTCAAAAAAAAAAATGAAAATACAAAGCTTTGTCCTAACACCAATGATATATTCAGTCCTTAGAAAGCTCTTTAGGATGCTGATTTGTTGTGATAGTACCCATTGCTGCTCCACAAACTTTACCATACAACACCGAGTGAGAAGATTTAGCACAAACGAAGCATTTTTATAGGCTAGTAGTTCAGGATAGAGTAGCTTTTGAACTGTGCATGTCCGTGTTTAACAGGTTGTTTAGCCAAATGTTTAAGTTACTTGCTGTCCTTGTCAGAGCAGGGGTCTAATGTTTCAAATGTTCCCACCAGCCAGCACATTGTGCATGAGAATTTCTCCTGTCATCACGGCCCTTAATGACGTTTCTCAAATGCTCATAGTAATAACGAAAAAAAACAGGATTTATTGGGCAGCCCCAACTAATGCAAACAGAAAGGTATTGAATTAAATAGGAACAGAATAGTATAAACACAAAAAAAACAAAAACAAATGCATCACAGCAGATTAGAGGTGAGCTATATAACTATCACAAATTACATTTCTATACACTTTTCTAAGCATATCATGTGTATAGTAAGAATTTAAACACTGACCAACTGCATGTTCCATTAAAAAGTGATTTGAATGGGGCCTCCAAGCACTGCAGGTCTATGAATTAAATATTTTCAAGTGGGACTGTACTGGCATTTTCTCCTTACCTGCATTATCTTCATCACCACCACCGTCTTCATCATCACTGTCAAATTTGGTTTTCTTGCCCTGGAACTGCACATGCTCTCTCCCACCTTTGTCCCTGCGGCCGCCCCGGCCTCGGCCACGACCCCTGTGACCTCCTATGCACACAGATTATGCAAAGATGATCCACACAGTAACATAAGGCACCTAGACTTTATAAAGCAAATTATGAAGACTCTAGTCTAGCAGTCTCTGTTTTGGGTGTCAGTTTCTCTTGAACTTATGCTTCATGTCGAGCAAAGGAAAAAAAAAATATCAAGTCTGATATTATGCTGCTTTCCACAAGCACTTCAAAGGAATTTCAAAAACCGTTTGGTTACTTTAAAAGTCGTTACTGTGTTTATGCAAAAGGCTTAATGTTTGATCCCCACTTTATTTCACTTGTAGAAAAATATGTTTGCAATAACTTAATATACATATTAAGGACTAAGCAGGTTTATATTGAGGAAAACATCGCATGTAAATATTCATGCCAATAATATGTCAAGCATTTCAGTCCCTTGTTGTGATGTCAGCACTCATCAGTACTCAACCCTTTCAGATGTTTAAACCACCTGTGGCCCACAAGACAGCAGTCAAATCATTATTTAGGCAAAATCTACTTTTTGTATCAACATGAAACTGAGTGTTGAAGACAAATAAGCGCAAAGAATTAGCAAACAGCTGTTTTTTGCTAACAAAACCTTTGCAGGTGTTTTTTCTTATTTAAATGCTTTGGAGAGAACCCTGATGCAGTCAGCCCAAAGCATTTCTGTAAAAATGCATCATCAAAACTTCTCAAACCACATCAAGAGGATATTTCACAAAGTGGGACTTCTCGGGTAGCCCAATAACTTGGGCCAAAAAACAAGTCCGTCCAATAGTAGAGCTAAAGAACATTCCTACTGTTCAATCTGCAACTTTTGGCTTAAGTTATCCTGCTTTGTGAAATAACCCCCTGGCCTTTGTCAAGGCTGCACAGACTTGATGTGGTTTAGTACACGATATGACTTACCACAAACTATAAACATGAACAAACCTGCAGACAGCCACTTTAGACCAAAGGGTCTGTATTCAGAAACCACGTCAGGAGTAGAAGTGCTGATCTAGAATCAGTATTTAACAATGACCATCCAAATACGGAGAAATCTGATACAAGATCCTGCTCTGTGAATATGAGCCCTGGTATTGTCTGAAATGGTGGACTTTGATTATTTTAAAGCTTACATTACATTACATCATACTGTTTTCTAAACCACTTCAGCAAGCCAGTGTGACCTTATTGAAGATCTGGGTGTGGAGTGTATTGAGAGATGTTACAGAAAAGATTTGGGCTATTTGGGTGACTGCTGAATTGCAGTTTTTTAGTAACATTAGCGCTGTAGCTCAAGATCTAAACTAAAGAAGCAAAATTTGAACTGATGTGTCTAGGCTGAACTACAACATTGGAGATGAGTGGAAAATTAAATGAAAACTAACAAGTGAAAAAAACAACTCAAAAGAAAGCCAAGTGTGCCTAAAATTAACAGGCAGTGTCCTTCTGCTCTTGATGGGACTGATCAGTAGAACTTTCTACCAACACAGTGAAAAATGATATATCCATCAAAAAGGAATCTATACTTGCTTGACTGCACAATACAGACAAAAACTAGTATTGGGATTGCTATAAATACAGATTTACAGATAGAGCAGCCTGCTAAAGACAAACCTGGAGTTGTGTAGAAATATTACTCCAATGTGAGATACCTTTTCCTCCTTTGCGTTTATTCAATGCCTCCTGTTGACTCTCTATAATCTTCTTCAGCATCTCCATCTCCACATCTCCTTCCAGCACCTCCCACTGAACTGCTTTGTCTTTAACCTTCAGCTCTGCACCTCCTGCAGCCTCTTGGGCCTTCTGCAGGGCCTCTTTAGCATTTGAGCGGAACAAGATAGTGCCCTGGAGTTACAAAGACAAGCTGTGAGCAAACACAATCCAAACTGGAACATCAGAAATACACACTAGCTTTAGAGCTCAGGCTTGAGTTTGGTCAAAGCTAGATGTGGAAATCTTTGAGTAGTTTAAGTTATTATTTACTGTACCCAACAACAGGGTATCAGCACATCACAAAGACTTCCAAAGAGACAAGCTGGCCAACATTAGCTAACTAAGTCTTCCCATTTTACTATTTATCTGGCAATACATAGCCAGAAAGTCAGTGCTGGCAGAACAGATTGTCCTCTCATCAAATCTCCTTTCTTTTCCAGTTTAACAGTTTTGAATATTTCAAACAGTTTTTCCCCATTTCATCATCCTATTAAAGTATATAGCCAGAAATGGAGCCCCACAACTAGCTAACTTTAAAGCTGGTGGAGGGACAAAAAATGGTTTTTAAAAAGGTGCCCCTTATCCCCAAGGTGAAAACTATTTGCTGACAGCAGGCCTCACCTCTTTGGCTCCTCTTGTGAAGTCAATCCACTTGATTTGGGCATGCTCAGAGAAGATTTCATGGAAGTCCTCTCGAGAAGTCTGACCCAGGTCACCAGAAAACTTCAGCAAACAACCTCTCTGCTCATCCAGAGATTTCTGAAATAAGAAAGTAAATAAATAAATAAAAAATAATTAAGCATATATGATAACATTAAAAAGAACATACGATCATTAATACAAATGTACGCCTGTGTCCTACATTTTAACAATAAATAAATAAAACCCCACTCACCATCTCTTCCTCTTCAGCCTGTTTTTGCTTTTCTTCTTTCTCACTAAAATACACATTTTCACACAAGTCAGCCGTTGTAGACTCCCCACAATTAAATTATCAGATAAACAGGCAACAGGACATATTACACAGTTACATTACAAGCTTTGTGCCATATAATGTGAAACCTCTACAAATATCTGACCTTCAGCCAGGTCAATGAAGAGCTCAGAAGCATTTTCACACCCAATTTCAGTTCGACTTATTCAGTTTCTCACCTCCTGGCTTTAGCCTTTGCACCTGCACGACTCTGCTTTCTTTCCTCTGCCTTCTTAGCAAAGTAGTCCTCCCTTCATAAAAACAGAAAAGGTCAATATACCAGATTTGACTGTAGTGGTGAACAAGTAACTACTGTATTTAGAAAGTGTTGTCAGCGCAGCTAGAGCCAAATATGCTTACTGGGCACACGTGTGTCTTTAACTGCATTCACACTAGCTTTCGACTAGGGATGTGGAAATTGGAACCATTTGGATTAGCATTATTGAGAAATAACATTTATTTCTGTAGGGTTTAAAAAATGCTTTTTAGCACATTAACCCAGAGCCTAAAATAAATGACATTTATTATGTCATCAAATATCAGCATGACATCTGTCAAATCTTAACGTGCGACAACATTAATTATTTAAGCGGACATCTGCCGACACCGATATGATTCCAAGATCACTAAGCATCCCTACATCTGACAGCAAAATCAAACAAAATCACTGCAGGATTTTGCATCGCAGACTTCCAGTTACAATGAAGCATCGTACAAAACTTTGCTAAAATTAGCTGAACTGTGATATACAAATTCTCCCAGCAGCATGACCGCTTTAGCTGTGTTGACCTCTGAAGAGGTCCTTCATACAACAGCACTGAAGATCAACAATAAATGAAGCACTAATCAATCCTCCAGTCTCACCCTGGTCATGCCCATTTTGTAGGGCAATGCAAACCGTTAATATCTAGAGTGACAGCAATTTTAGGTAAGGGACATAATTCCAGCCCTAGGTGACCTTATCCCTCGAGTTCAATTATGTGTGTTCGCAAAGGGAACACAATACACAGAGCAGTGGTGACCATACAGGAATTAAACAGTCCACCTCGGTCCCGTGGACTGCGTTTACATAGTTTTTACTCCTCCTTTCAGTGAAAGCACCCTCAGGGCAAAAGGTTCTGGAGATTTATGCAGGTCATTGTTGTATTATAAAGGGGTCAGATTCAAACTTGTCCCCATTCAGAAGCTGAAACACAAATATGTTCTACCAACAAACCTGCCAGCCGGGCAATGCAAATTAACACCAAGTTGTCCTAGACTTGGACAATGCACTAATGGCTGACTTTCCAAAAACTAGATTAAAAAAGGACTTACAAAAGCTATTGATCACTGACACTGCAATTCAGTCCAAAACTCCTCTTTATCCATGACTGGGGAAACTGGCCCTACATATGATTTAGATGCTATTTGCATGGAATTAGTTTTACAAGAGGAGGAGGGGGGTAATGTATTTTTTTAACGGCCATTTCTCAGTGACTTAACGTCTGACTGTGCCATATGAGGTATTTTTATGAACTGCACACTCCGGCGTCAGTAAAGATGCCGGTACCTTTACTGTGCCACAGAAATCACATGCAAAGAAACTCCCTCATATTCTGTAGAAATGGAGTATGGAAGCACTTGTTTACTTGTGTTTTCTGTAGCTAAAAACCAAGCCTACATGTAAAAGATACTTGTCCTACCTCAAGTGTGCAACTCATTCATTAAAATGTAAAAATGACAAACATCTGATTTTACGCAGTAAATGTTGGCTGTTGGCTGCGAATTCCCAAGTTAATGACCGTGCCATTTACTAAAGTCAGCCAAACAGACTGGGCTAAGTTAAACAGAACAATGGTTAAATTGTTTTCACCTCTTTTCTGGAGTTAAGACATTGAGTAAACATAGCAGACACTGGCATCTCGCACATTTATACCGAGACTTCTCAACTTGTGCGCATCAGTCCGAAACATTACAGACATTGTGGTAAACTTGCATGACCCCACCTCCACACAGAAAATAAGCCAGTCCAGAATGGACTATACAATGTAAAACATAAGCAAAGACTTTTATGCAAATTTACACAAAGTCCTTGACAGTTACATACTTCATCAGAACGATCATGTCGTTTCCTTTGAACTGCTTAACATCGTCTCTAGCGACAAAGGCCTTGGCTGCATCCTCTGACTCCAGTACCGCAAAGATGGAGCCCTGCAGAGGGGGGAAGGGGGGGGAAACCTTTAAAAATTAAGTTTTATAAAACATTACCTCATACGGTTTGATGCACAATGCACCACTCCAGAGAAACTTACAGCATTATGCACACAAACAGCGCATTATATGTTCAGAAGAAAGCCATTTCTATTCAATCAAAGCTGCACAAGTGCACTATTTGGGCAGAGAAGCCATAGTTTCATGACCTATGCAGCACACTATATAGGGAGTGAGGAGCCACATCAGATTCATGAAGCGTTCTTATACAGGAGAACTGTTGGCACTTTTGTGCTCGAGTGTGTGTAGATTCTATTTTTACCCAAGAACAAATCCCAAAAACGAAAACAATTTTTTTTTTATAAACAGTTGGTGAATGAGGCCCATTGAACAGATTTGTCCATTTCTCTCACTACTCTGCACTCTAATCTGAATGTTTTAACCTTTAGAAGGATAGAAACTTCAAACTAAGCAACGTTAAACTAGGAAAAAGAATAAGACTGCATTACACACTGGTTTACAGTGATTTGCGTGGCTGATGCTTGTTCAAGATTCACAAATATCATAGCAGATCTAATGAAATATTTCCTCAAGCGAATCCACTGATACTACGTCATAAAAAGATATGCATGAGTGGTACACGGGGTACCCTCATCTACCTGTAGTCAGGGAACATAATTGCACCTTGATCCATTATAATTATATACAAATTATGTAAGTTGTGTAGACTCCACACCCCGTCTCATCTCCAGGCTTCTTATTTTATTGTTCCGTTTTAAAACATTAGGTTATGAAAACATACAAAAGGTGCTTTTCCTCTGGGAAAAACTTATTTAAGGTGCACAAAGCCATTAAAACCACTGTTGTACCTTTGAGGGTACATTTACATTTTGTTCATCAAGGTATAAACAAAAGGTGTACCTGCACAGTACTTTTATTTTCAACAGTGCAGATAACAATGCAGTGTACGCATGCGTGATAGTGGTGCACATGCACAATGCAAATATGGCAGTAGCCACACCACTGAACTAATGGATTTAAAAGATGCCATTTTTTCTTTATCCATAGGATGGCACTGTTTCTTTCAGGTGAGTCAGGAATCAAAAACACCACTACTCAAAACAAAAGTCATTATATTCACCTGTCTTTGTAAACTGTTCTAGATAAAAACACGTAAAATACATAAGTCAGTTTTAAATGCAGCTTTGGCTACTTCAGAAATAAAAGCATCTTTAATGCAATAGTCAGCATCTTTAAACATCTTGAATACAATTGATTCCCACCGCCAAGTTTTTGAAGTCACGAATATTCTCAAATGTCTACTGGAACTGAATATGAATGTTACCACGATTGGCAATTCCCAATTCCACTTATCCAAAAACTTAACAGCTCTAGAGATGAGGCAGCACTGCAGTGTGCATTGCTAACAAATGCCTTGGAAACTTTGCTTTTCCCTGTTTGCCCAATAAATTAGAAGAGATGACCAAAATGTGTGTATATATCATCTCTTCCAATTTATTGCCATTACAAACATTTATACAAAAAAAAATAAAAATACAAAAATAAAAATAATTCACACACAGGGTCGCTGCTTATTCTAAAATAAAAAAACTGGCTATACTGACCTCTGGTCCCCATAACCACTGTACAGAAAAGTCAGCTGCTTTCTATGTAAGCACCATCTTACAACCCCACCCTGTGACTTTCAATTACTTTGTTTACTCAACAACTGATGAATACAGCACTTTGGTAGAATCTGTGGAATTACCCTTTAAAAATGAAAAACCACTGGCAGCACTGGTAGTCTTACTTTGAAGGTCTTCTGTAGGCCTTTCCTCATTTGAATGTTCTCCACATTTCCTTTATCAGCAAGCCAGTCTTTAATCTCATCTAGGGTTGTGTCCAAGGGAAAGCCTTTCTGTGGAAGGATAATTAACTTTTAATATCAAAAATATCCAGCGTTCCGTGTGAGGTGATGCTAAAGCCTGACATTAGAATTAGAAAAAGCACAACATTTTACACAGTGCCTTTCATTTGCATTAGTAACAAAGAGAAAGAATTAGAACTATTCTTAAGGTGCCATCTAGAAGCATAACAATTCAAAAAGATTGAGTAGTTTTTCTTTCAATAAAGGGATTCATATCTATTCTCAACTTATTTCCTTTTGTTTTTAATTCACAAAGAATAACACAAAATATTACATAAAACAGAAAAATGCAGTAACTAAATCAGCCTTCTCAGTTATAGTAGCCTTAACTGATGCCAGTAGGCCAGCCATAACGAAGAAGTTTTATTCTGAACTGTTTCTTTTTTTTCCCCCCTCCTCTGTAATAGACAAAATTCATCAACAATGCCAACAGTCTGCCACTACCTCCTAAAGGGCACCAATAAAACTCACAGGTACTGTCTATGTACGCACAAAGCGTACGTACTTTGGGCTGAGCAGAAGCTCGAAACCAAACACTCATTTTGATTTCTTTTTAGTTACATTTTACACTCCTAGTGCCATCATTCAGCATGTACACCCACCATATATATAGACTTGTGTTTAACAGCATCCCTGTACTCCTCATTGTGCTCAGGTAGAGGTTTGCTTGGGCACCGTCTGATTTTGGTTTGGTCCTCGCTGATCTCCAGCAGCCCCGTTTTGGATTTCTGTAGCGACCTGACTATAACCGCAGCATCCGAGGTCAAACTTTTCAGCCTGCGATGAAAAATTGGTGTGAGAAGGGCACAAGAAAAGAGCATCACAGGTCAACAATTTAACTGCAAGGTCGATTCCAGTCGGCATGGAAAGCGCCCAGCCCTAGCATGACTGTACTTACCTGTTAAACTTGAGCATTGTCTCCAGGGTAATCCAGCCATCATCCAGCTGCATCTGCTCCTTCAGGAACCTGTCTCGAGGGAGATTATGGTCTCCAAAATAGTACTAAAAGAGCAACAGAGGACAACTGTGAGACAAATGTTAAAGCATACAGCAGTGGTTCCTAAACTGGTCCTCAGGGCCCTTCAGGATGGTTCACATTTTTCCTTCATCCCTACGTTTTGCAAATTGGGTTGGAGCAAAAAATGTGGACCGCCTGGTAGTCCCTGAAGACTGGGCTGGGAGCCACTGGCCTACAGAATATAGAAGTAGGCTGGATATTCTTACCTCTATCTGTTCGGCCACCTTCTTCTCCAGGGGAGAGATTTCTTGTTCTTCTGCCATCTCTAATACTATGATAATTAGAGAAAAGAAATAGGTAAGGCCTACACAATGGAGAAGAACAAATTTAACACCTGTTTGACTAAAGAAGAGTAAATAAAAGTAAACGGCCACAGCCAGCTAACTGGTTAGTTTGTAGAACCTCAAACTCAACCCCCTATTTCTTATTAAATCACTTTCCAAGATCGGTAAAGCAACAAGCGTAGTTAATTTTACAATGAAGCTATGACAACAAACCCCCTGTTACGTTCGTGTGCATGAATCCAGCTACTTCCTGCACAGAAGAATGCGAGACCACGTTAGTTAGCCACCAAGCTAACGCTACACAGATCAGTGGAGCGAGTCATATAAACTGTAACTCTACTTTTAAGTTAGGGATATGTATATAATATGTCCTGTAAGTAAATATGACATGATTTATTGAGATGTGTCTTGGCCACAGTTCAGCTGGACAGCTAACCTAAATTCCTCTGGGCCAGGCTGCTCTAAGGTTAGCTCCAAAGCTGTAACTAGCTAACCTTATTGCAACTTTACTGCACAGGCTGATGTTTTCTGAGACTGAAAGAAGCGCGTTAGAACAGGGAAACATGAAACTGCGAAGTGCAGCTGGATCTACAAGATCCAACGTGACATGAGCTTCACCACGCCACATGTGGACAACACACACATACGGCGGCCTGCAAACCCACATACACACACAACCTGCTCAGCTCTGCACAGACACTCAGACATACATTTTCATATACAGAAATCTTAAAAAAAAAAAAAAAACATTTCAAAAACACGACACTTACTTTTAGAACTTACTGCTCTGCTCTTAGCTGCACCGCTTCTCACTCACGTTGCTAGAGCGATTTTTCCCATGAATCCATGCGAGTTCGTGCATTAAATACGTCATTTGTAGAGCCACTGATGCACCCTGGGACATGGAGTTCGTAGAGTGTTTTTCATAGTTTTACTAGTAGTACTGACAAACCATACCAGCCAACCTCATCTTAATTGAAATACGGAGGTGGGTAATAGAAAAAGGGTAGGATTTGGTAAAAACCGTGAGTCAAACCAACACCTCCACCTCATACCCAAATTCTTTGTTCTCTGTTTTGGACCTACATAACATTTATCCTCTTATTACAGTATTATTTTGTGCACAGTCACCTAATAAAGATGCTGCTTAATGAACCCAAACTACTCAATAATAACAAACAATTAGATATCTGAGCATGTTGTGTATTTATTTGCCACGAATGCTGCATTTTTAAGTATTTTATACTAGTAAACACCAATGGCACAGCAATTTTTACAGCATGCTTAGGCAAAATGCATACTCTTTCCATAATCAGACTTCTCAGTGCAATAAATGCCACATTCGGGAGAATTTATTTTTGCCTATACAGGACATATGCTGCTTGATTGCGCTAAGCATCAGTTTTTATAGCCACTTTAAATGTCAGCACATGAAATCAGTACTCTGGTTGTTAGAAGTGAGAAGGCTGTATTGGCCAATATCGCTGGGGGTTGCAATCCAAACATATAGCTGATTACTGTTAGCTATTACTGTTATGATACTGAGTAGTGCACAAGAATTGGAGAATGTGAAAACCTGTGAGGTTTACAATTAATATAGCTGTGAGGCCACAGCAAATAAATAAATAAATAAATGTTTTACAAGTAAACCATGAGACTTGATAGCTATGATAAACATGGCTGAACATGACTGCAGGAACAAAATGTCATTACCAGGTATGTACATTTTCATGCTAACAGATGGCAACACAGATTCAGTGTCTGTTAAACTGTATTTTATTTTGCAACCATCATAACCACAACTATTTTTGAGACCCCATAAATATATGCTTGAAACACTGAATTTTGCATAAATTCTGCAATATAATTCATATTTATATGTAATTGTACATGTAGTCATTTGCTATGAATAATTATCATACAATTGTGCTGCTGTTTGAAAGACTTCAGAGACAATGTAAATAATAAAAACAAAGTGTTACGCCTGAAACTTAATTCATTAGTTTATAATATCATACAAAACACCTTCTTTCAAAGTCCACTGCATACAACAAAACAAAGCACACATTATACTTCCATGTTTAAAATACTGAATGTATATAACTACATGTATAAACTAACTGAAACTACTTCATGTTTCACATTCCATTTTATTTTTCACATTCTGTAGTCATCAATAAAGCATAACATGCAAATCTGAAAGGATGTCTTTCTAACTGCTTTTTGTGCATTTAAGTTATTGTGCATACTGTAAAATAAAACTCTGTCCAAACACTACAAAATGAATTAGAGCTGTCAGAAAATAGGTTCACCTAAGCATAGGCGTCAGTCCACTTTTAGATACGTTTTCCTTTGTGCTTTACTTGAATGATGCTCTTTGAACAGATTTACATGAATATAAAAGGGATGCAATTTTTAAATCTAGTCACATTCAAGTCTAAAATATCAATGGCCTTCATTAGGATTATTAAAAATAAATACATTTTAAAATATGGCACTATTCAGTAGCTCATTGCTTATTGGCACAAAAAGTCTCCAATGGATAGCTGCCTTACACCTTCCTCCTTGTGCTAAAGAATTAATTTGTACATTATGATAGTAGCGTACATTTTACACGCTGTACAAGCACACACAGCCATGAGAACGTGTCGGAACTGGGAGATTTCCAATAATCTCCCATGTGTCTGTGTCAGGATCATACCTTTCAATCGTGTCTAGGTATGCACCTTTGGAGAGGGAATAACCTCCAGTTACGTAAACACAACCGTTAATGACCACAGCACTGCACTCCATCCTTCTCTCCTTCATTTCAGAAAGCTCTTTCCATTCATTCCTCCCTGGGTCATAGCAGTCCACTGTGGCGTTCTGTCCCCCAACCAGATAAAGGCAATTATTCAAGGTCACGGTGGACAGACCATATTCTGTGGGAGATATCAAAAAATACAAAATAAAAATAAACAACTAAATAAACTTAATGACTTTTGTTTTTGTTTAGCAGCAATTTTCAGTCATATGCAAAAGTTTGAACATTGCTGGTCATATGACATTTTGTAGATTTTCTAAATGGAAAATAAGTTAATGCATCTTCACATGGAACAAATTAAAATATGGTATTTTTCTGCAAATTGTATTGCACAACTTCTACTTATTTGCTGAGTTTAACATATTGGAAACAAACAAAACATAAAATATAAAAAGGTGCTGTAACTTTTGCCACATTTTATGCAAATATGTTAAATTAAGCAAATAAACAGTAATTATGAAGTAAATGTGCAGAAGTGAGTTCTCTGTAGAGGATGTGTTAACTTGTTTTCACTTAGAAAAGTCAGCCTGTGAAAGGTTAGACATTAAAACAGATTATGTGGACAGTACTGCACTGACGTGCTGCTAGAAGAAACAGAAAAGCATGCTCTGAGGTTGAATTCCCTTGTTTGGTGTGGACCATCACAAAAATGAATTCTTACCAGCAGCGAACCGAACCAGGCTTCATTTGGAAGCAGATTGAAACCCGCGGTTTCTCCTGGACCACAGTTAATTAAAGTGCACCGAGTACAGCTGGAGTGTCCATACTTTTCAAAATGGACTGAACTAAAGAAAAAGCTTGATAGGTCCACACTAAACGAGGTAGGTGTGAAAATGCTCCTAACTCTTAAAGTTAAAATACCAGTGGTGATTCACCATTGAAATCTTAAAACAGAGAAAAGGACCTGGGTGAGGACAGGTAGTTGCAATGCTCCACACGTTCAGATCTGTTCGATACATCTGAATCTTTTCATAAGTGCAGGCCCCTTTAAAACCATAATGTCCACCAACAACGTAGATGGTGTCATATAAAGCACATGCAGTGGCGTTGCCCACACCTACAACAGAAGAAAATGACAGTGAGGGACACCACACTTGAGTATGACATTATTAGTGCCAGCTCTACCTAATAAGCAACATAAGCTGCTGCTTATGGCCCCACGGCTGGCAGGGGGCTTCTGGATATTTTACTGCACCATTATGTTATCCAAACAGATTATAAAGAACTGGGTATCTCACACTGTCTAACTGGTTTCTGCTGATTTTTTGGCAAAGCAACTGGTTGATCATGTCTCAAAAAAAAAGAGTGCACACATCTGGAACCAGAAAATGTAAAAGAAAAAGAGAAGATGAGAGGGAAAAGCTTGAAGTTAATGGTCTGTTCTGGGTTTTTTTGTGGTGTTAACGTTATGCCATTTTTTGGCTTGTAGTTAGACAAAAAGAAGTAGTGGATCTGGGCTCTGTCTAACAAGCCAGGTTCAACTTAGACAGGCTTTCTGACTAAGTTTTAGCTTCACAGATAATGGTGGTTTTACAACAGCAGTTATCAACTTTCTCTGCTGACCCAGGTTTAGATACTCAGGCAGTGATTAATCCTCATGCATGAGAACATAAAGGAATGTTTATGTTTATGATGAACAGTCAATCATTTGAAACATGTGGAGGAGTCGCCAAAGGAGGAAAAAGAAATCAAATATGTAGAAAGTAAAGCATTTATGGTAACAAAGCAACGGCGTTGCCACCATCACCAGGGTTAGATCCAACTAAGCTTAAAGTTAGCTGGGTATGCTAGAAATACTACATTGTGAGAGAGACCCTTGGGTCTAGAATACTAGAAGGGTTATCTGTCATTTAAATTGAAACTTATTGGGACCCAAAACACCTGCAATACACAAAGAAGCCAATTATAAATCTCCGTAATTTAGACAGCTAGTGGTAGTCATTGTTATTAGCATCTGGATTTACAGCATATCAGCTAGGGTTTAGGGCCCCCAAAAAGATAGAACTGGTCCTGGACATTATTATGATGTAGAACAGGATTAGTCAGTTGTTCTCATTCCTAGTCCTTAGGACTTCTCAAATGTGAATTTCAAAGGCAAAAAAAAAATTGCTACTACCCACTGCCCAGGCAACCATTTGCCTACTGTAGAGCTGCAGTAATCAGTTGACACTAAAGGAGTGTAGAGGCGATATGGCTTCGATTGTTTTGCTATAACAACATTTAATGATGGTAGAGGCTGGGAGAGAAAACGAAGAAGGCAGAATGGTTTGATCGATTATTTAACTGAATAACAGTACCCGGGTGGGAGAGTTATCTTATGTCCGTGTCCATATAGGACAGATATTAATGGTTAGAAAAAAATTCCCTGACGGTGTTCAGAGGCAGGCAAAAACCGCTACACTTCGATCAAAGATTACAGAGAAATGGAATGAGCTCACGATGACTATGACTAACATTTTGATTTCAGGTTCACTTTAAAACTGAACATTAGGACATGCTTTTAATAATCATCAATCATTACTGACATTGAATTATTACGCCAAGATATTTGGCCATATCGCCCAGCCCTCGGTATAATGTTTGTCAGCCTACCTTGCACCATTCTGGTTAGAGGAACCCATTTCCTCTTTAGAGGGTCGAAGAACTCTGTTTCTGCAGTGGGAGCACCCCCTCTGTACCCTCCCATCACATAAACACTTCCATGCAGAGCTACGGAGCAGTGATAATACCGTGCCCACAGCATAGGAGTGCCAAGTGTCCACGTATCTCTGTCCCCGTTATACACCCACACGGTGTCCAGAGCCTCTGTGGTGTCTGTGTGGTATCCACCAGTAACATAAACATCTGCGCCCAGCTGAGTCACGCTGTAGCTTTCTCTGGTGTGGTCAGGCATGTCCTGTCCCTGCACCCAGGAGTCTGGCAGGGACAGAAGTGGGTAATAACTAGTTACTTTTACTCAGCAACCTGTACATTTTGTGATGTGTAAATGTGAAAATTTGATGGATTTGTACTTCTCTAAGTACAATGATTGACCATATTCTTCTTTCATGTATGTTTTAAAATGAATACTCATAATTTCTTCTATACTGTTAAGCTTTATCACCTGTCTGTAAAGCACCTTGAGCTAGAAAGTGCTAAATAAATAAAGATTATTATTAGGAACCCCTTCCTTTGTAACTCCACTTTGCTGGTGCTCAGTTACAGACTGTAAGCCATCAATGGATACACAGTTTCTGTTAGCCATTTTTTAGCCCTACAACATGGTCACTTTCTGACCTCAGCTGTGCCCAGAGATGGAAGTCGCACACTGACCTGACTTACAAGTCAACTTGTGCTTGCGCTTAACAGACTCACCGTTTGACTCAGAAACAAGCTTAAAGACTCAGGGAACCTAAATCTGTTTTTCTTTCTAATTAGACATTGTACATTGACATAATTAAGCATGTACTAAGTACACACTTTGAATCATGTTCCAATGACCAATCAATGACTAATACATTTCTCTGCTCTCAATGTAAACTGGGCCCTAATCTTGGGACACACGTCCGTAAGCATTCCCGTTACAAATCACTGGGCACATATATTTGATAGCCTAAATCACCTGACCAGAAAATGCTAAAAGTACAGATAAGATATTCTGATATCCTAAATCTCCATAACAGAAAATGTTACCAGCATGAAAAGAATAAGTAGGATATTTTGACAGCCTAAGTCTGTACTGAATTAACATTAAAAACACAATAAAACATTGAAAACGCTAAGTTAGTATGCTATACTAATAATATGAACATACTCAACCACTTGATGGGTAGCACAAACTGTCAGAACAACTGTAATTCCATTCATTAGGACATCATGTTTGATACGACTTCAAATAACAAGCCTTTCGGTACAGAAAAACTGTCAGCCTAAAGGAAAGAATGAAGCACTACACGCAGTAAATGTGGTGTTTAAAGGAAAGAGGAAGACTCGCAATAGCTAATTTAGCTTTAGTTGTGAACTAATTTAGCCAATATTTAGCAGGTTCTAGATAATACAAGACTGAACAGCTAAACCAAAGACGCAAGACTCGGACTCTTATCCCAGAGACTCTACTCAGACTAGCACCCTAGGGACTCAAGACTCTACCCTGACTCATGTGAAGCAACTCGTGAACACCTGTACAAGCATCGAACACATTACGACCATGTTAGTGTAACGAATGAGGGGGCTGATAAATTGTGCATCAACAGATGAGTTACAGTCAGCAACTGTACACCTGTATAGTGGACCTATACGATAGGCAGAGCTCTTAAGAAGTTTGGAGTTTGTAACAGGAAGGTGCATGTATTTTCAAGTGGCAATACTTAACAACCTTAAGCTCCTATGCTGATATATGCTGCACTCCAGGAGTTTTGGGCCTGATATGTTTCAGCTTAAGTTGCTGTTTGTTAGACTACAACTAGGACAGGTTATTTTTTTTTCATTGATGTAACAACACTTTAACTTGAGTATAAGTTTTAGGCTACTCTACCCACCTCTGGTCTGCAGATCCCAGGCATGGACTTCAGCTAGGGGGCGCCAGTGGTACCCACCAATGACATACATACTGGAAGCTGGCTTTTTGCTAGTCATGTGGGAAGAGTTTAAGCTAGGCTTTAGCATTTGTGCAATCAGGGCACGAATAGTTGTTGAATCTGTGAATAAGTAATTGTCCCACACGTTGTAAGCAGAGTTAAAGCTTAGCTCATCTAAATTTAAACACAAACAATACATTAATTCCTGAGTGTGTTTTAACCTAGCTTGGCTATCATGGCTAACCCAGCGCACCAGTGCATCTAGCATAGTCTGTTCTTTCTGCGTGAGGTTCGGCAGTGATAGCACATCTCTTAGCCGTTCAGAACTTAGCTCCACAAACTCCTCTTGACCTACAAGCTCCTCAAACCTTGACAGAATGGTTCTCCTGGCCTCCATCTCAAGTTTTGTACACATATGCAACTCAGCAAAAGTCCGCATGCCCAAGCAGTTATCCACGTCCAGCAGGCGGATCAGAAAGGCCTCACAAGCCTGCTTCACTGACCCCAGCTGCAGCAAACTGGATGCTTCCATCAGTCTCTCCACATTGCCTTGAGTTACAGTGACTTTTGAAGTGTAAATAAAGTCAATAACTGCACCCAAAACCTCGCTGTCCACGCCTGGAAGCCGCACACACTTGTCCCTCTTCTCCCGCATGTCTGCGGTGAACATGGCTCGAAAGAAGGGACTCCGGGCTGCCAGCACCATCCGATGGCAGAGAAAAACACGTCCAGAGTCACTCAACAAGGTGACATCTGTGAACAGCCCCTCGGCCCGAAAATCCTTAAGAGCATCGAGCATCTCCGTTGGGTGTGATGGGTCACAGAAATCATAACTGTAACTCTCCTGATCTTGACTTGACATTTTTGATCCTGAAAAAAACACAGTTATTAGTTGTTTGCAAGGCCACAAAGCAGGGTTATTACAATAGAATACTTGTATGTGCACTGCACATCAAAGGTTTGTCTTCTTTTGTCAATGTATTATTTCAATGTATTATTTTCAAAGTTACTTTTCAACTAAAGCTGCACTTGAAGATTTTTTGGTTAAAAGCTAAAGAACTTTAGGAGCAAATCAAAATGATGGTGTCCATGTACTGCTGCAAGTCACACTGTAAACCCTGAAATAGTCAACATTGTACTAACGAAGAAATAATGACAATAGTAGATTATACACTTACATCCTCATAGGACACGTCCTTCACCAGTCAAGTGTCAAAGATCTTTTGAATACTCTTTTAACAGCCCTGCAATCATTAGATCACCAGCATCCAAAGCATATAATTCATTTAGGAGGCCCAAGTATCTTATTTTGGCAAAGAAGAGTATAGACTGAAAATTATTTTAATTATAATTGTTACTATATATTATTATAATTATATATTATAGTGAGAATAATTGATTCTAACATTCCAAAACTGATGCAACTGAATTGCCATCTTCAAATCAATGTATCACGATGCAGTGATGCATTTTTACACCTCTAATGCACAATTATTAATTGTTTGCAGAGTCACAAACAAGAAAAACAAGAAAAAAAAATCTCTGTTGATGCATTCATGTATTTTTTCCTATGAGAAAGCAGAGTCCAGTGTTGGCCACCCCATTGCAAGCATTCAACCAGGAGCTGAACATTTTTTATGAAGAAACACCTTAGAACCCTTCATGAACCGGCTATAAGAGATAAGTGATTTCAAAGCATCAAAGTGTGATACCTACCACTGCATCTCAAATGCTCACGTTACCAGATATGGTCATGTTACCCTTCAAAGTTTATAGACTGAACCTGTTGTAAAACCCTCTGCAAGGCCTGTCATTTGTAATAATCAGAGCCAAAACCTTCACCAAATGTGGGTCACAATGTGGCTTTTGATTTATAGGTTTATTTATTTACTATGGACAACACACATTAATCAACACAAAGCACATATGTCAGTATTAGCTAAATGGTTAATTTTCTATTGTATTTGGGAAATTAGCCACTGAAATAAACTGGATGTAAAAATGCTTTAACTGTGACTGAATATGAGCACGACGCGAACGCCAATAAACCGATTGGATTTCAGCTCCTGTAACATCACCGCTGGCTATCACGTTTCTACGGCAGCATAAGAGTCCAAGTGACAGAAATGAGCGTGATAATAATAAAAAAATGGCCCAAACAACGTATTAAAACGCAAACAGCTGTGCTCTACATGCAGTTTATAAAACGAGCTCATATTCGCTGATTACATTCCAGAGCGCACAGTGTTGTGTTTAAATTAAGGATAGAGCTGTTCAACGATTTAACAAAATTAACATCCTGCACAACCAGGGGAGACTTAAATGTGACCAGACAGTTCATGTCCATAAACTTACCGTGTTATCTTCAGACCAGGAATTAAAATGCTCTCGGACGGGGTTTCTGCATCTCCACGTTCATGCACGCTGTGTAATTTGGGTAGCGATGTTTTTCCCCACCCGTATTCCGGCATGTACGGCCTTCCTGCGCTGTGATTGGTTAGCAGTTCATACTTAAAGGAGAACTCCACCATTTAAAAAAAATCTACATAATTCAACACTTCAGATGTAAACAGTCATTCAGAGTGGTTTGATGTGAAACTTACTGATTTATAATTGCTCACTGTGTTGTGATAGAAACCAAATTTCTGAAGAATTTAATGCCTCTAAAATATCCCTTACAAAAAAAGTTATTACACAAAATGGTTAAGATTACGCTGCCTGGTGCCTGAGACATTATTTTGCGATAGCTTTGTGATAAAGGTTTGGCCTGAAACGTCTTGTTGATCAGTTTTAATCCGTTCATGGCTGAGGGGTATATGTAGGGTGTCGTACATCTTACGTAAGGCAAAATAGCCCCCCATCCCCCCCAAACAAAGCATATTTTTTCAGATTTTCCACTATTTTTACCATCATAAACATAAATAAAGTACATAAAAACTTACATAAAAACACGTTTAGGTTTACTAGTGGTTTTGGACAATGAATAAAATGGCTATATTTGTGTTGTAGTCAGTGCTCTGAAGAAGTCAGGGTTCTGAAGAATCCCTCTCACAGCAGTTCGCATTTTTCTATTCAGCCAAATTAGAAGTTTTAGTAAGAATTTTATTTGTATTGTCAGAACTGAGGATATGTGAGTCAGCCATGTACGCGGATCATCCACACCACCAGATTCTACAGCAGCGGACTGATCTGATCTGATCTGATGGGGCAGTAAACTTCTGAAAACCATAACCTGGCAGGTTTTAACAGTCTGAAACATTAACAGAGAGCAAAATCTCGGGAGCTACAAAGTTAGTTTCATTTTTACGTGTATGGTTTCTTTCTTCAGTAGTTTTCGAATGATGGGGAAAAATGTTAATATGTGTAAATGATCATTATAAGATAGATAAGATAAGATAAGATAAGATAACCCTTTATTAGTGCCACAACAGGGAAATTCTCAGTGCTACAGCAGCAAAGGGACAGCAAGGCACTCAAGAAAAGTAAAGTAACAAGAAGAGAATTAACAAGCAGGTAATTAACCTAGTTAATAACTTAACAAGGTTTTTACAGTTTGTTACTTGTTACTATATATGTAAATACTAAATATAAAAAATAAGATCAAAATATAAACTCTATCCTTCACAAAAAATAACAATATAAAAAAATTATAAATAAATAAATAAAGGCAAAAATATTTGCACTGTAATGATATTTTACCTGAATTTCACATAGAGTATTGTGTGAGGAGTTAACAATATAAACATTAAGAATAGAAAAACAAAGAATCTTTACACTATAGAAATATTTTTAAAATATTACACATGGAGTATTGATTATATTGCACACAGGAAATGGTGATGAATTCACAGTTTATGTTCTGTAGGAGTGTGAGGTCTAATGGGGGGTGGAGGAGAGTTCTACTGGGAGCAGAGCTGGTTGTACAGTCTAACAGCAGCAGGAAGGACCTGTGATAGCCTCCTTTACACACTTGGGGTTGAGCAGCTTGTCACTGAATGAGCTGCCCAGTGCTGCCAGAGTCTCATGCATGGGTTGGGAGCTGTTCTCCAGCATGGATGTTAGTCTGGCTAAGGAGGATGCTCCTGTCTTATAAAATGCAGTGGAGAAATTGCATTAATACGCTGATGAACTGTGGCCATTTTATAGGGCTTTATTTACAAAATATGAAGTTAAGGACTAGGTAGCACAACACGCTTTGTCCAGGATTAAAAACTTGATGTGTTAATAAAGGAAAATGTAAAAAAAAAATCAGGGTACACTTTTTTGTCATGTGTTGTAACATTAGCATGCTGTTGAGGAGGAGGATGTTCCTGTCTCCCACCGCCTGCACTGGGTCTAGGGGGCTTCCCAGGACAGAGCTGGCCCTCTTAATGAGTCTGTCAAGTCTCTTTCTGCCCGCAGCTGAGATGCTGCTACCCCAGCAGACCACTGCATAAAAGATAGCTGATGCCACATCTGTGTTGAAGAAGGTCCTCAGGAGTGCCTCCTGCACTCCAATTGACCTCAGTCTCCTGAGCAGGTAGAATCTGCTCTGGCCTTTCTTATAAGTGCACTGTGTTTTCTGACCAGTCCAGTCTATTGTTGAGGTGAAAACCCAGGTACTTATAAGAGTCCACTCTCTCAATGTCCGTTACCTGGATGTTCACTGGTGGAGGGAGGTGACTGCGTCTGCGAAAATCATCACCATCACAGTCATTTGTGACTAAGACGATCAGCTCCCGCTTAGTTTTCATGTGAAATTAACGCCTTTTTAAACTCGTGGTACACGTTGATTTCTATGAACTGCTGAAACCAGTGAGAGCTGATTAGGGAGCGTCTACCATCATCAAAGCCTGAGCAGGACACACCAACATGAAACCTGATGGGCCAGTACAGCCTTTCAGCAGAGAGAACACACACGATGGCCAGTCAGAGTTTCCAGTTTGATTTGTGTTTACTGTTGATGAGAGGTCTCAAAATAAGATTGATCTTTTGACTTAGGCAAGAAAAACAACAGATTTTTAACAAATAAGGCTAATATGTTAGTCCCAGGAGAGAAGTATAGTTTTTAACTATATTGCATTTGATCCAATGTACTGGATCATTCTACATCAATTACTTGTTCCCTGTGTTTTAGTCTAAGAGCTTTTAGTCTCAGTGTACCTATTTATTTATTTATTCGTCATTTTTTTGTAATCTTTTTCCTGGGGAGCAAAGCATGATTATAAACTTCAGGGTTATGTAAGTAAATATACATGTCAAAACTCAAACAAATTATACTGTTATGCAAATTTGTCATCTTTATGTTTGAATTATATATATATATTATATTGCTCCACTTAGATTTGGCCATTTCGCTGTGAGGCAGTGAGGAAGTCACCTATAATCTATCATTTTTGTGTTTGGTGTGTTAAGTTCAATTCTTGCTAAAAAAGTCTTTTTTTCCTCATTTCTTTATTTAATTATGCATCTTTAATTAAAGACAAGTAACCCACAAGTAACAGAAGGTATCAGATTACATTAATATAGTAATGCTTTGGATTAGGTTACAATTACATTTCTTAACAAGTAACCAATAATCTGTAACAGAATACATTTTTAAGTAACCCTGCTTGTAGACATCATATCACCACCACTGTAAAGAAATCTAAATCTGTATCTCTATACAGCAAATAATTTTACATTAGATCACTCTGAAAGACTTTTATACTGCAACGATGGAATTACACAAAAATTTTGAAAAATCGGCGGCATTCCCCCTTAGTTCAGTACACAGGGTCTTTGTAGCCAGTCCAAGCTCAATAGATTAGGGGTTGCACATATTCCTTGTTAAATATTCTAGCAATATTCACCATTGTGATACTCAAGATCATAAAAAGCTCCCATATGCACTCCACTTCCTGTTTGTGAAATATTGTATAAAGCATATTGTACTCAGACTATGTGGCAATATAATTACAAGATGGGTACGCTGCCCTTTCTGTGAGGTAGCTTTTACAAGCATTAGATCTTTTGGACGCCTGGTTCCCATCACCACTGTAGTGGATTATTCTGACTAAACAAGTTTCCCTAGAATGGAGCATTTCACAGTAAACCACTCTGAATCATTTTGTTTACATTTCAATAATTTAATTATGCAGAAATTGAGTTTTCCCTTTAAAATAAACTCTTAGCAAATCACAATTCAGTTGTACAATATGTCAAAAGCTGGTCAGTATATGCAAAAACCATACATTAAAATGTATTTTTATGTAACATTTCCACCTCCTCAGTAACACAATAGTGAATGAAATTATAATTCAGCTACAGTATTTTAATGTCAAAGAGTGCAATAGTGTAATTAATACACTTACATTACCAGAACAATGGACAATGGACAATGGACAACACAAACTACTTTTAACATACTGGCTTCATTTATGCAGTCACACAGATGTTAATGAACATCATTATACTTGTTCACTGAGTTTATCAACAGATTTATCCCTGAGATTACCACTCACTGACAAACTCAGTCAACAGACACAAACAGTAGATACTGTTTTTAAAAAATGACATATTGATTCTTGCATTGTATGATCAAAATGCCCCATAAATACTGATAAACACAGTACAAATTAGTGCTGATAGCAGTTGATCAAAGGAACCCACAACGTGGTTACATGTCACTCAATGGAAGGAAGTACAGAACTATTAGAAATACTGTTATCACTTTCCACTGACATCAATTTCAATATCATATAGCCAAGCAGTTCTTCTCAAACAATCCAGGCTAGTTGGGAAAACAATGTAAAAAAAAGGTCTATGAAATAAAACTCGAGCCTATGTTTTATGGAACAATTTCACATATTACCCTTTTATTAGCTTAACTGACCCATTCATGCCTGGAGAAGCTTTTCACAATGTTGACAAATAATGCTACTGTAGCTATGCTTCTAATTTGGACAATTTTGTTGTAGCTAACCAAAATTAGGCTAGTTAGAAACAACACTTCCTCAACAGCATGCTAATGTTACAACACATGACAAAAAAGTGTACCCTGATTTTTTTTTTTACATTTTCCTTTATTAACACATCAAGTCTTTAATCCTGGACAAAGCGTGTTGTGCTACCTAGTCCTTATCTTCATATTTTGTAAATAAAGCCCTATAAAATGGCCCTGGTTCAACAGTGTATTAATGCAATTTCTTCACTGCATTTTATATATATATATATATATATACACACATACATACATACATACACACACACACATTTTATATATTGTAAACGTTACATTTCTTTTAAACTGTCATAGATCCTTCACCACCTAATTAAAAGGTCAGATTACTGCTGGATGAGGTCAAGCAACTGGTGCTGAATTTCACTTCCACTGCTCCAGGGTGCAATTTGGGGCTTAAGTGCATTATTCTCACGTCTGGCCTTGGACAGCAGTTTTTCAAGTGTGTAACCTTTACGTGGCATCACTAGATCATTCTCTTCCAAAACCTTTATAGGACAAAAATCATTCCCTCCATCTCCAACATAACATATGGCCTGGTAGTGGACACCAGAGTTGGCTTGACTTTCTCTGAAGTCACTCAAAACTTTCTGTTTGCACAGGTTAACTGGACAGTTCTCACACTGGTGTGAATGGAAGCACTGAACTCCTATGTAACCACCATTATCAATGCTAGCAGGATTTGTAAACACACTGTCAACAGCACCCTTCACTCCATGCACCTCTAAAATCCAGTCTATAAAGAGTGTGTTGGAATCAGAGACTATAATGCAGTCTATATCGTGCTTGTTTTGCGAAATGAAAGTCAGCAGCTCTACCATTCCATCTGTGAAGGGAATCGTTTCCAGAACTGATCTGATTGTGTCCGGGTAGATGGACTGGTCTCTGAGGTAAGACAAAACTCGGCCCATGTACTCCGTCCAGCGTCCTTTTTCATAGGAGGCCTTCAGCCAGGCAGGCAAACTCTGCTCTGGAGCACAGCGGACCACCCATGTGTCGCTGTTATCGTCCACCAGAGTGTGATCGAAGTCGAACACAACTAATGTCTTCATCTTGGCCTGGAAACACATTCGACAAATCCAGTAAATCAGATCTGCTTTATATTTAAATACCTATAGACTTGTTATAATAAAGCCATTGTCATTAGGAGTTTTTTAATTCTTCCTAATACTAACTAAAGTAAATGGAGCTCTGCATATATATTATATATATGCACACACATACACACACAGTCTTACTAGGCTCAATGATGTTGAAGTTAGCTCCTTATTCGGTAAAATAAAGGGAGTGTCCACATTCGCATATTTGCTGTGCAATTTCCACCTTTGACAGACTCAGAGAGACTAATAATGGAGATACACTAGTAAAGGAATTGAGAATGTGCACGGTTTGTCATACCATTATGAATATATAGAATATGACTATAAGGTAATAAAATATTTAATTCTGCAGATATAGGATGTTTCTTCAATTCATTTCTACTGTATAATTTTATTACAAGTAGCTCATTCGTAAAGTTGCTTTTAATCCTTTAATCATTTTTACGTCATTTGAACTGTACAAATGTCATGATTTTTCCTGAATCTGGCGAATGTTGGTAGAGTTCAGGCTACACGGAAGGAAATTAGGACACTCGTTGAACCTATTATAGTAAAGGCATAACTTGCAGGCAGTCAATGCTCAATAACTATATTCAGGTAGCTACTGCTTTTAGACACCTCTGCTACAAAATACGCCGTATCTCCATGATTCAGTAATGCTAACATATCGACTTTTCACTGTGATTTTAGAAACATGGACTCCCAGGAGCTGGATGACCTGGTGCCCGACAGCGCAGAGGACAAAGGTTGAAAAAAAGGATCGATTAGGGTTTTGGTAAATCAGCGATACCCAGTGATACGCATCCTTACCAACATTCAGGCGTCTAAACTACCCCACTTATCGTACGTGGCCCCCTCTCGTCTCTCTACACACAGGAAAGAAACCATGTTCTCCGGTAAAGGCGGATAACAGACAGGTGCTCTACTTTGTTATAGGGAAAATCAAATTTATTACATGAAACCGTGACCATTTCTCCCTTCTGAGACTAACCAGGACGGTAGCTAGCAAACTGTCAACAGAAACCATCAAAACACTTACCGATCAGCGTTTAAACGTAAAATAAAAAAAATAAAAAAAACACTGACTAGAGAACATCTATCAAAAAGGTAACTTATGTAGCTAGTAAAGCATTCAGAAACACAACTGCTCACCAGTTCAGAAGTACAGAAACCTTCTTCTCTGAAAAACAAACCGGCAGGTTGAATATAAATTAAACACGTCTACTGCCCCCTACAGAAAGGATGCGGCATTGCTGAAATTAGAAGGTAGCTCAACTCAACAGGAAAAAACACACTTATATATATTGTAGTATTAATTAAACGCGTATCTAAATCTGAGTTTTAAAGAAACAAAACGTGCCTTCTCTTCTTGTGCCCGGCCCATTGGAAAAAAAATAAGTAGCTAGCCTCGCCATCTCGAGCTGGTTAAACCGGTTGACCAGCATGCCATGATTTTGTAGGAATTTTGGTCTACAAACTTTATTATCAGTTTTCGGTGTTGTTTCCAAAAATCGTGCCACAGTTAATATTTGGGGGAAAAAACTGTACTCGGATTTTATACCTGTTGAAACGCTAAGTCTTGTTCAGTAGTAGGAGTATTAACACAAACCTCACATTCAGGGTCACGTTACACGAGCTGTTGTGTGCGTTCATTTCCTTATTTCTATTTTTCTTAATTTGTAACTTGACCGCAAGAATTAGCTAGGCATCTAGGCGGACCATAGCAACACTGACAATGATACAATTACGAGATCATTAATTATTAAATTATTAATGAAATAATTTTTGTTTTCGTGCATCGTTTTACCAGAAGACAAGCTGTAATTGGATGATTATCGATGAGATCTGTGGTCCGGAAACTGCAGCCTCCTGTTCTGCAGGAACTTAAGAGTAGTGGGGATTTTATTCCAGTACATATGTCATGTCCGTAGTTTTTACAAGTCTGCCAAGTAATAATTCCAGAGGGAGTTTCCTTCTACAGCACTATTCGAGCTAGATTAGTTTTACCAGAGGTGGATAATTTCCTAAAGTAGTCCAGATCAAAACGTCACACACAATATTAGATTAGAAAAGAAAAAAAACTTCCATTTCAAAGCAGACAGAATAGCGTTAGGCTAGGACAAATGAATGACAAATGCCCAACAGGGCGGAAAACACTGCCGTGTCAGAAGCACCTTGAGATATTTATCCGATTTCATTCTCATTAGCCCATCTCCAAAAAGTTTTAGATTGCGGCAGTCTGGTTTTGAACTGGTTTTTGAAGCATAAATCAAGAGCTCCATTTTTGTAATTCGCTTTCTCTCCCAGCTGCCACAAAAACAGCGATTACAAATTTGTGTCATTACATCACCTTGATGTCGATTCAAACAGGACTCTTAATTTGTCAGTGGACCTGTTAACGCCAGATGAGCAGAACTGAGAGGCAAACACACAGGCCTACGTAAGATAAGGAACAGAAGGATTTATTCATTACCGCACAAAGCTCAGCGATCCTGATTCAATTAGTTTTGTTCGCGTTTTTTTCCTCTGGCTGCAATTTTGTGAGCCTTAAATCTCGAGTCCGAGTCGTGACTAGAGTGGACAGGTGAATCGTCCTTTTCGAACAGTCATTTCCAAAAATAAAAAGGAACACATGACCGTAAAAGAAAATGACAGTTTACAAGACAATTTCCTATTTCAGAATCAGTTTTAATTCCCAAGTTTGACTGAACTGACACTTGCATCAGGATGTTATTACAAACATAAAACCCATATAAAACTCCAAAATACAGATTCCCACCCATTATCTCTCCCTACAGATTAAGAACCACACAGCTAAAGACAGCAACGTGGGGAAAGGCAAAAACATTAACCATTTTCTCTGAGTAAAAATTTTGCAACCAAACATTAATTCTATTTCAAAAACAGGCAAAGAAAATAGATTGTGCAGGGGAGGAAAAAGGCCTGCGTCACAACATGGTGGAGGGAAGAACAAAGGGAAAGAACAAGAGAGAGAAAAGAACTACACAAAATTTCCTGATCAAGGACCATCAGAAATTTGCAGTCTTTTTGCTTCCAGTTCAACTAAATCTGTGTGCACAAGTCAATATAAAAGGAAGAGTGTAAATGCAAAGCAGAAACATTCTTGTTCATAAATGTTCTTATGGGGCAGCTGATCAATGTTGAATGAGGACAGGGGTGTTCTAAAATCATACGCCAACATTTTTCAATCTAATCTGCTGCATCTGTAGCATACAGTCAATTACTACTTACAATTTCCTTGTATTTCGAAAAAGAACAGAAAATTTGTTGACTACAAATCAAAAGGCAGCTGCTAAACCAACTGCCCACTGGCTGCCATCACTGGTGTTCTGAGAGCAGATGTTTTCTGTTCTTTTTTTTTTTTAAGCACAAGTAAATGAGGTGAAATTATTTTCTGTAGTAATTGATCATATTGTACAAATATGACACACAATAGCTTGAAAAACGGAGGAGTACTTCTTTCAGCGAGTGAACAGGGAGGTTAGTCGCTGTCACTGGAGCTTGAGTCCTTTTTCTGATTCCTGTGATGATTTCTGTCTCTCCTGGGGCTGCGTGATTTGTCTTTAGCCTTTTCTCTGGATTTGGGGCTTTTGCTCCTTGTCCTTTTCTTACGTTTATCTCTGTCGCTGTCCGAGTCGCTGCTCTTGCTGCTCATTCTTCTCCGTCGCTTCTGTTTGTCGTCACTCTGCTGGTCACTCCTGTCTTTGCTTCTGTGTTTATGGCCGGAACGGTCTTTAGAGCTTCTGTCTCTCCCTCTGGTCTCTTTGCTCTTGCTTTCTTCATTATTCTTCCTTTTCTCCCTGTCCTCTCCTTCTCTCCGCCGCTCTCTGCCCCTTTCTCTCTCTCTACTTTTCGATTTCCTTGACTTTCTGTCTCGGCTGCTGCTGCTTTGTCGTCTGTCCCTGTCTCGTCGGTCTCGGTCACGTGACCCTCTCTGGCCACGCCCCCTTGACCTGGACCTCTGTTTGACATCACGATCACGCTCTCTTTCTCGGCTTCGTGATTTTTCACGGTGATCTTCTCTGCTGTTAGCTTTCTTACCATCTTCCTTATGTTTTTCTTTCTCCTTTCCATCACTTTCAGTCTGTTTTGTCCTCTCTTTGCTTTTGCTCTTCTCACGTTCTTTCCCTTTTTTCTCCTTCTCTTTAGCATCTTTCTCCTTGTCTTTTCGGTCTTTGCTACCTGACCGGCCCTTTCCATCATCCATTTTGCTGCGTTTGTGTTCCCGCTCTCCTTTCCTCTCTTTGCTTTTGCTGCGACTATGCCCCTTTCTCTTTTCTGTTTCTCCATCTGTCTTTTTCCGTCCGTCTCTCTCTCTGCTTCTCGAGCGATGCCTGCCACTCTTCCTCTCTCGACCTTTAGAGAGACTCCTTGATTTGTTTCGCTTGCTCTCCTTCTTCTCTCTCTCAGAATTTTTCTTCTCTCGCTCTATGTCGGGTTTTTCTTTTTCCATGGGCTCTGCAGTGTCTGTCTTTTCTTGTGACATGTCACCTCTGTAATACATGAATAATTTAAAATGATTTTAAAATACTGTAAACATTAAACTTATTCTTGCAAAAATCAATATAGCCCACAGTGTCAGAAAGCCATTAACTTTTACAATTTGATTACAGTTCTACAGGAAATTACTTAACAGGAAATCTCAAATTTCACCATGATTCAGTTAAATTATTTTTGTGCGATTCAGAATTTGAGAAAGTTTTCAGACTGGAGAAACCATTTACACAATACTGAAATACACAAGAATAATACCATTTTTTAAAACTTTTTAAAGCTACAATTGTTATTGAGCAGATGTTTTATAGGATATAATCAGTTATAATTATCAACACAGGGGAGGATTACCTTCAAATATATAAATAATGATGCACTGCTCTATTTTCACACCCCTAGTGTCCACACTTGTTTGAACTGTTGAATTTTACTTTCAGCATGCACATCTCCCCAGAGGTTTAGGTATTTTTCCAGCCTTACTTGTCTCCTTTTATCCAGCGGTCCTGGGTGGCCTGTGTGTTCGGTGTGGCCTTCTGTGTTCTTTGCATTTCCTGTCTCCAGTGTGGGGGGGTTTCACTGCGGCGAAATCTGTCCCACGATCGAGATCGAGACCGGGATGGAGTCCGGTAACGCTACACAAAAACAAACAAAAAAAACAAACCATCATTTACTCAATTAAGCATATTCACACTGTGCTCATAAAATGAGCAAAGAATAGTGTAAGAACAGAATTATACTGAGGACAGACACACAGGCATGTTTCTCTCACCCTGGGTCCTCTTCCTTTAATTCTTCGCCCTGATCTGGTCATCACCAGTCGTGTGCGATTCGGTCTCGAGTTCGTCATGGGTCTGAAACACAAGAAGTTAAACCCACAGATTTACTAAGAGCTACCCATGATCTAAAACTTCTCTGTTGCAGCAGCCACATGATCCGCATTACAAAAAGGTAAAACTTAAGACACAAAGTTTGTTTTCTAAAATCTGAACCAGAGTTAAGGTTTTTGTGCTGCATCTTTTTCCATTTGTTTCACTGAGTTTCACAGTGCAATGACTGAAGTGGCCAAATTAGATACATGGGTGTCTGGTCAGAACTTTGTATGGGATACACAAGCTCTGTTAGTTTCACATTGAAGCCAAAAAAACAAAAAACAAACAAACAAAACAAAACAAACAAACATCTGTCCATCACTGTGTAAAATCCAGATCCTTCCCTCACATATATTTTTGATACTTGATTTCTACATCTTTATGATTATTAACCCAATTAATTAATTTAACCAATCAAGTTAAATCAAAGTGAAATGCATTGCTTTGCTATTTTATTGCTTGTCTGCAGTGATCAGCAGCTACTTGTGCTGCAAGAACAATATGAGCATCTCTTAAGAGTCAACTGTTAGAACAAGCAGAATTATGCAGATGGTACAGCATATACTGTCATAAACACTGTCTGGTGTGAACCATTGTAAACATGTTTCCACCAGCAGCAAACTGAAACAGAGTTCACCTGGAAACAGACCCATGATTTTGGATTGGTCTGTACTAGGGCTGGGCGATAAAACAATAATTATCGCGGTATGACTTTCCTCGATAGAAATAAGAAATGTTCGCTACAACAGAGCATTCTCACACTCCACATTCTAGCGACAGCCCTGGTGGCGTTTTCTACTGCAAGTCGCCACAAGAGGGCGCACTTCCAAGTTTTTTGACGAAGTGAATAAGGAGTGAAATGTCACCAAAAATATACTTTAGCAACGTCTGAAACGTGGCGATATACAAATTCCCTGTTGGAAGCGGAGCTTCCTGTGACCCAGTGTGAGTGACAAGATAAGTGGCGTAACTGTACAAGTCCTAGAGCGAACTCACCTCTTTTCTAACATCCTTACAAGCTTTAGTAGCATTAAGTCACGCCTGCTCCTCACAACTACAGTGCTGTTACAGCGCTCAAACAGTCATATTTTAGTGTTAGTGCATTCCCAATCAACGGAAGTGAAAGAGCACTAGACTGAAACTAGTACAGAAATCCAGATGTCTGTTAGCTGGTGTTTGAATACTGTGATATACTGTGATATGGATGTGGTAGGAGTGATGGCAGTATGGCGGTGTGATCCATCATTGACGTACCGAGCCAGCTAATGTTTGCTGTTTGTGTATTAAGCTGACATTGCTGAGAAACTAAAAACAGTTTAGCAATCGTCACCAGATAGAATTTTTTTAGCTCTCTTAAATTATGAATATTACAAAAATTGCAGCCATGCTTTTCCAGCTGGTAAAAATAGCTAACCAGAAACTTTCTCCCACTATCCCATTTGTGAAATGTTCCACCGTTTGGCAAGTGTTTGCCACAGCAATTAACCACTCAGGAGCCAAAATCAGACTTCAAACTTGAAAGAAAGATTTGACAAATCATTTGACAAATCACGATACGTACCAATATCAACTGATATGAATTTTTTTTAATCATGATAATATTTTTGGCCATATTGCCCAGCACTAGTCTGTATCAAACAAGGTAGGTGTGAAAGTTGTCAAAGAAAACTTGCCAGGGACATCTGCATGACATATACAAATACTAATTGAGCTTCCAGTGAAATAAAGCAAACCCAATTCCAAAAAATAGCTCAGACAGCTAAAAGCCAAATAAAAACAGAAAGCAGTTATTTATAAATCTATTTCATCTGTATTGGAACAAAAATAAAATAAAATAATCCATAAATATCCTGTCTTTTTTTAGCTTATCTTTTCAAATTCATTGTGCTTTTTTGTGAACATATGCTTATTCTTAAATTGACACCTGCACCTAAAAATTCCAAAGCAGAATAGGGACAATTTGAGACAGCAATATTGTGAAAAATGTAAAAAAAATTGTAAAACGGGCAATGATGCTTGGTTTTTAAAGGAGCACCCAAGAAAGATCTAGTCTTTTATGAGCATAGATGGGTTGAGGCTCATTACTTTGCCAAAAATGCACAAAAAAAAAAACCCCAAAAAAAACAACAAATGAGCAGTTTAAAAACAACGTCCTTCAGCGAGGGACCTTTGATCTCTCAGAATTAATAAACCAGCATGCTTCTGTGATGGATATCACCAGATGGGCTTCAGAAATACTTTGACAAAACGCTGTTGAAACACTGCTCAACACTGCGTCCACAAATACAAGTTAAGACTGTACTATGCACAGTGAAAACCATATCCTCCTAGGCAAAATCACTCATTAAGGTACAGCAATAATGGATTGTGTGACCGTAGTTAATGGTGTAATGCCAAAAAAATAAATAAATAAAATAAATATTTTAAAAGCAAAAGTCAAGTCACAACACCTAACCTGTCTCGGTCCCTGTCTCTTTCCCGTTCTCTTTGCCTCTCTTTTCCAGAATCCTCTTTGTGTTTTTCCTTTTCTTGCTCCTCTTTGGGCTGCTGCTGCTGCTGCTGCTGCTGGGGACTACGTCGCATAAGGAAGCGATTCTCTGGAATGGGCGGGACTTCCTCTGGACGGATGGAGGAAACAGGCTGTTGAGGCTCTGCCTCCTCTACCTCTTCATTATCAGAACTAAGAAGGAAAAACAGAAAACGGGGAAAAAGTGAGTTAATTAGTACGTCAGGAATCACTTAATACCAAATCAGAAACCACATTAAAATTATGTATATCATTGCTGACAGGCCCCCCCGGCTTTTCTTTGTTCCCTTTTACACTATAAAAAAAAACGCTAGCTGCCTTTTAAATTGTGTCAACTTTTAATTAATAACAAATTAATAAAAATGAATCTATGTTCACATGAAGTTTTTTTAAAAACCTATAAAGCTCTGTTTTAGCGATAAGTGGTCCTATGATAGCAACTATACAAAGACCCCGTTTACACATGGTCACTTCATGTGACTAGTATCTAATGTGTATCCTAATAAGACTTCAGCTACATACTTTTACAATTGGTAATCAAATGTGTCTCCAGTTGGTCAATTCAATGCTTTGAGGGACGGAATAACAACTATCAATTATTTATCCGTTCAGCACCCAGCCACTTTTACTGTTGCTGTCTTTGGCTTTCCTCTATATTTGCTCCAGGTTCTTTATCTTCCGTTGACACTGCAACCATGTTCTCAAGCCATGGTTACTCTAAGGTCATCTGCAGTTTGTTTTGCACAGCAATGCCTGTGCATTGTCTGGTCCCCAACCATGTGCGTCCTCCATGAGTATTTTCCTTCTACACACATGTACGAGTTACGATTATCCTGGGAGGGGTTTGGGTTGTTGAATGTGTCTTGGGGAGACGGCGGCACTCATATCCATCTCCAAGGATATGTATCCATTTTACATGTGTCTTGGGTGCATTTACACTTGCATTTTTATGTGGCTTGGCCTTATCCAAATATAATTCTGATACTCGAGATGCATGAAATGACCAGGTGTAAAGGCGGAGTCAAAGATGCATAGATCACATACGAACCCCTTCTCCTTTTTCTTCTTGTGTTTCTGTTCCTTCTTTTTCTTCTTTTGCTCCTTCTTACGTTTCTTCTTCTGCTTCTTTTCCTCCTTGTCTGTCTCTTCAGATTCAGATGAGGATTCTGAGGAGGAAGATGAATCGTCGCTGCTCTCGCTAGATGACTGCTGTTTCTTTTTCTTCTCTTTCTTAGCTAATACACCCAAAAGAAAAAAAAACAGGACTTCGTAAGGGCACACAGACACATTCTTTTAGAATCAATTTCATAAGGAATGTGTTTGGATACATGACCATTTGTACTACTGAACAGAATAGTCTAGTCCAGGATTCTTCAAATCCTGTTCTGGGGAGCCAGTGTACAGCACAGTCTGGTGATTTCCTGCTCCGACACACATTACTCTTTTGTTAATTACCAGGTTTAGTAGCTGTGGGTGAGCAGGGAGATCACCAAACTGTGGACATGAACTTAAGCACACTAGTCTTGTTTGTTAAAATTGGAGATTGCACCAATCTGATACTCATCTAGTGTATCTGCTCTGATACCCAGATATCAGAGGATTAAAAACACAAACTCCAGTCTTATGTGGTAACAAGTCTAGCCTGAAATATCTGGTAGAAGAACATATCATGAAGTAAAGTCAGACAAAGCTACAGACACAAACAGCAAAAAAAGTTTAAATTGGCATTGCAGTAAGCTTTCTAACTTCCAAGAAAAATCTAAAAATAGCTCTACTATTAACTGTAATAACTTCCAGGCTTTGCTCTTGTTAATTATATTGATGTTGACTTAAAAATATTCCAGGTACATCTATGTTCTTAATAACAACTTCAATAAATAATCAAGGGTTCATGTGAAAACATCTTTATCTGAAAATTCCTTTACACATAAAACTTTTGTCCAAAAGTTTTCAATGGGTTTTTTAGTGGCAAAACAAGTCATTGTCTTGTTTTTCTGTAAGCCATTTTATGAGCACAAAAGATGATGTGGATAAAGCATTACCAAAAAAAAACAAAAAAAAACAAAAAGAAAAACACATGTAAAGATCCAAGTAAATCTTTACATCTTTAAATACTCATCTTAACCAAAACACATACAAAGCTTAAAAGATACAAAAACAAAACAAAACAAAACAAAAAAACAAAAACAAAACTAAAGCACCTTTGGATTTGGGGATGAGCTCTCCACAGTTGAGCACCTTGACTTCTGCGTAGGGTCGGCTGCTGGTGTCTGTCTTCTGGGCCTCAATCGTCCGGATCACGTCCTGGCCTGAGATCACCTGACCAAACACCACATGAATTCTGGAAAGATGGAGATGAGAAGTTATTTTAAAGCACTGTAAGCAGGCCTGGTACATATTCCACAAAAAATTGTTATAACTAGGCTAATATGTGGTGCACAACATGCATTAAAGAACTTACAGACAAATCTACACTGCTATGTAATCCATTACACTTAGATTTGCTCATACACACAGACAATCCCTTACCCGTCGAGATGAGGAGCAGGTTTTGTAGTTCTATGGTCAGGGACACAAAACAGTGAGGCAGAATGTAAATACAAATCTAACAAACACAAAAACAGTGATTAATGCACATATACAGCTCATTCACAGCATGATCATAAGCAATTCACAATGGCCATACACTTGTAGAGCTCATTCAACATTCTACATAATAAATTTAAAAAGCAAACATAACTTAGAGCATTTTTAACCAATATGTGAAGTGAAGTCAGAAGGCAGTATAAATACTCATAAGAGTGGCCCGTTACTCAACTCCTGACTCACATAAAAAACTGTGAGCCATTGGTGTCTTTGCCTCTGTTCGCCATAGACAGCAGGAACTCCTTATTATGTTTGACAGAGAAGCTCTCGTCTAGGAAACAAGAGAGACAATATTAGAAAATAATCATCTTAAAGCTAATATGTTTAACTTTTAAGCAGGTGCTGTTCTGGTCCTGCAATTTACAAATTGTACATGTGAAGAAGGGGTGGGCAATATGGCAAAGATACAATTTCACAGTATTTTTTTTAGAGGGCTCCGATACATTGAAATAGAAGTGGACAATATGGCAAAAATGATACTTTAAGCTTTCATGACACGTTACAATATATTTTTGTAAATTTGAGAAAACAGTGCTGACATAAAAAAAATACAATCAAAAACTATGAATACAATGACTTGTATTCCATATTTTACATACTATGCTTCACTAAATCCAATAAAACAGAGCAAACTGTGCTCTTTGTGATCAAATACGCAGTTGGGAAGCGTTTTTAAGTACTGACGATATCCATGGTACACTGAGAATAACACATTGTGACAAACAGTAATGGTCACTCATCACAATAAGTATTGTCATATTGCCCAACTACATGTTGAAACACATCAGAAAAAACATTGGTGTTACACTTAAGTATTTAATCTAAAACTATAAGTATTTTTCTTCCGTGTTTCCCTTCCAACACATTACTACACCCTGTTAAGCAAGCCCGATTAATCTATCTGGGGCCCCCAGCATCGCTGGAAATCAAACTCATTATTTCCCAATAACAGAAATAGCTCTGTTTAATTCTTTTTCATGAAACACAGTTCTGTCGATATTCACTACTGCAATGCCAACTCATAAAAGCACAATTTAGATGATACTGTAATATCATACTGGCCAATCCTTACACAAAGCATTTTTGGGAAATCAGAAGATAAGTGAACATTAGAATATTAAGAAAATGTCTTCAAAAGTGATTAATTAAACCTGTACCTTCGAAGAAGCCTCCATATATGGATTCACCTCCTCTGCCATTTCCTAAAGGAGAAACATTTATATCTTTAATTATATAGCAGCAACAGCATTCTAATTTTTATAGACAAGCGTACAATACAGAGTAATATTTCATGTAAACTGATAAGTCTACAGCGCAGAGTTTACAATGTACACAGTACCTTCACTAAAGTCTCCTCCTTGTATCATAAAGTCCTTCACTATCCTGTGGAACAGACATCCCTTGTAGTGCAAAGGTTTTTGGGTAGTTTTGCCAATCCCCTTTTCACCTTAAAAAACAAGAAATAGTGCTGTTTTTACATTGTTGATTCAAAGTTGCTCTGAATGTATATCAAATTATAAAAATCACAAAATTTGCAAAATTGGTTAAATGTATGCAAAATGCATTGCTAACTAACCTGTACAGAGACAGCGGAAGTTTTCACACGTCTTGGGACATACATCCGAGAAAAGCTCAAAGACCACTCGTCCAGCTTTAAATAAAATAAAATAATAAATAAATAAATATAATACAAGGCAATGTGAACTCCTTCAAAGTTAGTAATTTATCTTCCCTGCTTTCTATTAGTATGTGCATTCTTACCAAGTGTATTGCTGATACCAATGTCAAAGAAGCAGCGAGGACGCTGCACCTTCACCCCCATAGTTCTGATAAACACAAACGAATGACAGTTAGTTAGCAATTCTAAATCAAGTACATTCACAACAAAGCCTTGTATGGTCCATCAAGCAAATTCAGGCAATTAATTCTGCTTTATCTATATTTCCTTGCCAAACCAACAATAAATTGGTCATTCCAATTTTTAAGTTAGTTGTGTTTTGTGAAACACAACACAGAAACAACTAGAAATGCACTGATGTGAATTGTAAGCTCATGCCAATATCTAATATTTTTCTCGTACATATGTTGAGTGCAAGACAAACATTTCTAAAATGCAGAACTTGTGACTAGAACCACCTTAATTACCATTAGAGATGTGAGAATTATTTGTAGAGTTTCAAATGTATTAAAATGAATAAAATTCAGATGTTTTAACGCAGAAGCCCAGCATCACTTAAACATTAAGCTCTTCCAGAATATAATAAATACACCAACAAATAGCAATGTAAAATGCCTGTGTTCAGATTTCCGAGACAAATTCTGTCACTGTAAGGTTATGTTAGTTCCTAGTTGGCGGACTAATAAACGTATTCCAGGTGATCGTAGCTTAAATCGCGTTGCACGCTGCTAATTGTATTTTTTAAGTGAGTTAACTACGTGAGCTATTAGATAAAACAGAAAACAAAGCAGCTGCTTCACTCTCAGTGAGTTCACGTTGTTCCATTCAATTTCACTCGCAGCTTCCACACACGCTTGGCTCACCAGCTAATCCCTGACAAAACACCACTTTATACTGACGCCTGTTCTTTCTGCTCGCCGAGTGCTGAGTAAATATATACCACAAGACACATTCTTCTAGTGTTTCTGAACTGAAACACTCGGTAAAGATAATTACAGAGATGTTAGTCTTGCGCTAGTGCTAGTGCTAATGCTAACCGAGCAAGTTCCTCCGCCGAGGCCTTCGTTTGGCCAAAAATGAAACTAAAACTCACACACATTTTCACTGACGACAAAGAGGTGTTTGGAAATCAGGATTCGCACTTACCAGCGTTTAACCAGTGGCTGGAGCTGAAATAAAAAGAGCAAATATATAAAACGCAGTAAAACTGCAGAATGGAAACTGGCTCGGCTTTAGCGCGGCTTTCAGAAGATGGCGCTCTGAAGGGCGGCGGTGCATTGTGGGTAATAAACCCCCGCCCCCTCCAGCACGAGAGCGCTAGTGATGATCGTTCCGGCTCACATCAATCGGCTCTTTCGCCAAAGCAGCTTTTCATTCTGTAGCATTGCCAGTTTTTTGTTCTCAAAATGAACCAAGTTAACGATCTTATATATCATTTAATTTTCAATAAACCTTAGTCTGGCTTCTAATAAACTAACTCCCAACACTTGCATTATGTTGGCTCTTCAAAAACAGAATAAGTCAGACGTTGGTAAGTTTCACTGGATGAATTTTGGGAGGCAGGATTGATCATCGTCATCAGCCAGTTATCAAACAGCAAAGGCGGGTAGAGTTTTAAAAAGAAGCACCAACGAGGCACACAAAGGATTACATGAAACCCTCACGAGCAAAACCAAAGGTGTTAATAATAAGGGGAGGAAAAAAAGCATCTTAAATGCGAGCTGGCTCCCAACAACCACCTAAAAGAGACAACTCGTTGAAACGACACACTAGAGCGCGCGGAGAGAGCGCGAGAGGCGGCGTGACGGAGCTGAGAGCTGATAGTTTCAGACGTCGGAAAGCTCACAGACAGCAGTTACCATGCAGTGGAAAAGCGGCTTTTGTAAAAATGTAATCAGCTTGTTTTCAAATTTTGTAAGAAAAAAGAAAAGAAATAGAAATACAAGGTTTTATTCCGACAGCGACATAACTGGAAAAGTAGCTGGTGCTGCTAACCACAAATGGGCAAGGCCTGGCTACTTTCACAGCTCCATATATATGAGCTTTTTGTGTACAATTCTAATGGATGTACAATGTCTTACTTACTATGTCCATTTTCTTATGCTCATATAACTCAACAAATTCATCAGTTTTTCACTGAAGTACTTGTGAGTAAATGTAAGTAGTTGCTACCTCCTTAGGCCTAGCAACAGCTTAAGGTCTAGTGTCATTAAGATGCTGGAAACAAGGCCTATAGCGTCATTAAGATGCCTGAACCAAATACCATATTTTTCCTTACTCTTTTTAGAAAGCTTTTTGTGGCAAGGTCTGACGAAAATGTTCTCTAAAATAGCAGGAACCAATTTTAAATCTGTATGAAACTACAGGGAGGTTCACTCGAAAGAGGCCCCGAATATTCTGTTATAACTCTCGCTAGGACGAAGCAATCTGAACGAAACAACGTGCAATGTGCTCCTCAGTATATGGAGCTTCGAACATGCCGGGATGCCCCTGCATTGGGGCGATGAGGTAGGCGCCGGACAGCTGTCGCGACGTTTAACCTCCGTTTGCAACTTCGGGGTGCATACACCTGTACCCATTTCATGTGTCTGGCAGAAAACGGAGGATCACTTCCAGCATCGCAAGTAATGCAATCGATTACACATACGTCAAGGTAGGTAGCGTATTTTTTGTTCAGATTGCTTCATCCTAACGGGCGTTACAACAGAATATTCAGGGCCTCTTTCGAGTGAATCTCCCAGTAGAACCCTGCAGGGTTTAACTATGTTCAACTAGCCATTCCTCATCATTAAACTAATAATTATGATTATGTTAATGTCAGCTGGTCTTGGTCAATTTAGCTACCCAAGATAACTTACGTCAGCTTTTAAAATAACAAAACAGGAATTTAATGTGGAGTAATTTATCATTAACAGCTTGCGCTAATTTAACACACTCCAAATTAGCATGTTATTATTTGCATAAACAGTTAGCGTTGGGAGGGATCCTGGTTCTTGATCACCACACACTATTATCTATTTTTAGGTCTATTTCTAGATTTTAATATTTTTTATAGTCTTTGTTGTTTTGACAAATTCAGCAGCTGTGGTTTCAAGCAATGTACCAGCTCATATAAAGAAAAGAGGGGTCTGTCGTATTGCACGGGACAAAATCTAGGACATAAAATACAGAAAGCCCTGGTTAAAATGTATGGCAAAGTTAAAAAAAAAACTTTTTGTTACAAGGGAAACCACTTTAGACTGTGACCCATTCAGTCACACATTTCAGTAAAAGATTGACTTGACTGAGAGCACTTATTAGTTTGGGAAAATAAACAAGCCAAAAGGAAGAATCAAAATGTACGATTTAAAAATATTTAATTTACAAAATAGAACACAAATAGCAACGAATAACTAGGCCAAATGTGTGCAACAGTTATTTTTATGTGAACAACCTGAGACTTGAATGAAGTAGTGAAGGGTTACTAGAAAGTCCCAAAATGAACAGAAATGTAGCGTATGTCAAATGTACATAAAACACATACATATACTCATTCATACATTCATTACACAAATGCTTTGTTTCTTCTTCAGAAACTGAAAAATGTAGGACATTTAAGCTTAGTTTAGATTAGTCTAGGCACATAATTGGGTGGATTCTGAAGATGGACTCTGGGGTCATAAGGACAAGACAGTTGAAAAGAGTTGCTGAATTTAGAGTTTGGGCATCCGGGCAGCATTGAGACGCATTGCAACACAAGAGGCTCCGGACGCATAGGGCAAATCTCTCAACATACCGCTCCACTGCTTCTTCCCATCATCATACCTGAGAACAAACACAAAGGGAAAGCACTTAAAACACAGCCTGCATCTGCTGTCCACTTATAAATACTGAACATGCTTAGTAAGGCCACTATTTTAGAAATGCCTGATAATCCTTTTCTTATATAGGTCCTAAACTCTGGGATAGCATCCTATAGAACATTAGGAATGAGTAAAAGGCAAGCTCGATAGATGTTTTTGAATCCAGATTAAATATTTGTTTAGACTAGTGTATGCCTAGAACATTTGGTCTCTTTTTTCCTGAAGTTTGTAATTGTGCTGTTCTGTCATATAGACCATGGAATTTTATACGTCAATTTTACTTATCGTCTATTAATATTATTTTATTGTCAGTGTTTTACTAAGTAGACAAAGTGAAGAGAATTAGCTTCTCTTAGCTTAGCTATTAGCTATTAGCTTAGCTATTAGCTTTTATATATATATATATATATATATATATATATAATATATATATATATACATATATATAGTTGTAAGCAAAAGTTTGAACATCACATACTTGGCCAGATTACATGTTTTTGTTCATCTTCTAAACATGAATATGGCATTTTTCTGCAAATCTTAGTGCACAAATTCTATATATTTGCTGCATTTAACATTTTGGAAACATAAAATCTGCGATAGCTTTTTTACAGATAACATTTTTCTTCCACAATATGTTCAATTCAGCAAATAAACAATAATTGCACGTTAAATATGCAGAAATGTGTTAACTTATTTTTACTTAGGAAAAAATGATCTATTCGTGTATATAACACTAGAATGAGTGTTATGTTTCCTTAAAGGTTGGCAATATTACCCAGACTTAACACTGATTATTACCAAATGCATATAATAATTAGTGTTAATTATCAGTATTAAATTTATAGAAAATATCTCGAGACAAAATATTTGGTAATATAGCCCAGTCCTAGACCACAGTCCTAGTTGAAAACATGCTGAAATAGGCTAAAGTAAACTGGACTTTAGAAAACTCAGACAGTGTAACTGTTTAAGACTTGATAACTTACTGCCAAACATCTGTGATTTCTGAGGGTCCGAATTCTTTGTTCTCTAACTCCATGATGGCAAAGCCTCCGACAGCATAGAGTTTTCCTTCACTGCTCACGAGGTTCACTGAGCTGCGTTCCTGAGGGAACTCTGTGAATGTGTCCCATCTAGACAGCAAGATAAGAGCATAAAACGATTAGATCCACTGTAATATGGTCATGCCATACTTCCACACGTCAAGACAAATGTGATCCACAGAGGGATCCAGAAATATTGGACAATATAATGTTTTTATAATTTGGAAATTTTCTGACAGAACACATTGTGACATTTTCCAGTGTCACAGCTGCTGGTTGCTGTGTCACTGCAATAGACACAGGAAGAGGGATTAAAATAAATTCTTAGAAATATAATTTAATTATTAATAACTTATAATTTAATACAATTTACTTGGAAAAGCATGTAGACAAAAGAAATCTAGAAATTATGTTGCCACATGTCACTTGCAGTACATTTGTTGTGGAGACCAACAGACATATTCATTGGCTGATATTAGCGTGCTGTAGAGTTATAGGTTTCAGCTGATGAAATTGCTGATAATACATTTAACTCAAGTCTTCCGCTAATGTAGTAAAAACTTTGGCACCCAAAACCTAAACTTTAACATGAGAATAACGTTATAATACATTCAAACTTTTTTATTTTTTTATGAAGAGAACAATGAGAAATAAGAAGCAAAAGAGGTGACACAAATCAAAGGTCCAAAACATTCTGGGTAGCCCTCATCCCAGGGCCACAATATAATATTTAAGTATTCGATTTTAAGAAGCATGATCATAGACACTCATATCAGAGGAATATAACTGGAATATAAAATCTAAATCTATATCTTTGTACATACTTGTTTGTTCCAAAATCGTAGATTTCAGATGCAGCCGTCAGACCTTCCTCATTCACTCCTCCAGTTACAATGATTTTCCCGTTGTGAGCAACAGCTCCAAACATCGCTCTGGCTGTCTTCATACCAGCCAGTTCTCTCCACTCTGACTGCTTGTGGTTATACACAAACATCTTGTTTATAGCTTTACTGAGAGACAGAGAAAGAAACATTTCACTTTCACAGTTCCACAGCCTTCATAATATCACCATCTTGTTTACACCGATATATTTAGCTCCATTTCTGTTAAAATACTTTTTTGTCATTTCTGTCCAGAAACAGAAACATGGAAATAACTACCATGCAGAGGTTGAAAAGCACTATGTTTAGTATGGGCCTAGTGAGGCATCACTACACCCCCCCTAATGCTGACAGAGCACAGACAGCTGCAACACACACAGACAGACACACACACACACACACACACACACACACACACACACACACACACACACACACACAGACTCACTTATCATCAGTCTTTCCTCCGATGCAGTAAATCATGCCGTTATGTGAGATTACAGCGTGGCCATGTATGTGGAGAGGAAGTTTCTTTGTCTCACTCCATCTCATCTTCCTGTAAATAATGACATGTGATTAGATTCTTATGTAAAGCATAAAAAGACGGATCAGGAATACTGAAACACTGCAACAGTGCCTTATATCTGAATATATTTAGGATGTTTTTTATGAAGTAAAAGTTATGGACCACTGAAGAAAGATACGCAAGATTGCTTTAAAAAAGTCTGAAAGTAGGCTGAATGATCTAATCTGCAGACTGTGCTTAACTGTAGTCTATGTGAATCATTAAAGCACTATGAATTGCTTGTACAAACGGTGCTGTACATTTTTGTTGAGTCATTGGCGCAAAGTTCTAGATCAAATAATAGATTTTTTGCCTGTATTAATCATGTTTAGCAGTGTATAGACAGGATTTATTGCCTATATATAAGATACCATTTTTTTGTAGCATGCTGAGAGAAAGGCTGAGTGATATAAGAATTGTCATTACTCACTCAATATCATAACACATGACAGAATCAAGGGATTCGTTGGTCTGCAAGTCTTTGCCAGCGATAGCAAACAGCAAATTGTTACTTTCACCCAAAGCGAAGAGACATCTGGGGCTTGGCATGGGCGGCAGGGCCAGCCAATCAGCAGTAAGGCTGTCCAACTGAAATAAAACAACAAATAATTACAATCACTGTTTATCTATTATTATTATTATTATTATTATTATTATTATTATTTTTATTTTTTTTTTTTTTACTGAAAACATAGTACTTTCTGGCATTAAATGTGCTCTTAGCATGAAGGACTTCACAGATAAGTCAGAGATTTGTTACTTTCCAGGCCAAACAAAATCTCAAATGGCTCCTATTCATTCAGAATGCTAGGGCTATTTCACTAATATACACTGTGAGTATGGCATAATTGTTATTTCACCCAAAATTTAGTTTAAAAATGTGCTCATTGTAGCCTTTAAAGATTTAAATAGTGCAACACTGAATGGAATAAAACTGAAAATGTACTAACTGTTAATTAAACTTTAACTGTATTATTCAGTATCTACTTTGAATTATTCAGTAACTACTATGAAACTAATACGTATCACACTAATAGTATCAAAAATGCTCTTTAATTTGTAACAATAGCAGAACACTTTTGGTGCTATTACACAAAAGAGAACATTTTACCATGCAAAGAAGCATTATGCATTCAAATGGTTCTGTGAGTCACAGGTCTGTATATAACCATTACCTTTACTAAAGAACCCTTGAGGAACCACTGTAAATACAGAGATTAGTGTGTACCTCATTCATTATTGATGAGTGTATTGAAATAAGCACTGCATTGAATTTAGTGTATTTAAATATGCACATAATTTCCACATTAATAAAATATGTTATATCAACACAATGTGAAGTAAACTAAAAGACAAACTTGTGTTAATATAATATTTTACATTGCATTCATGTGTTATTGAGGTACACATTTGAATTAAAAATTGCAATGCATCACTTTTTTGTCAGGGAGTTTAAGTGGTCACCAACCTGGTAGAAGTAGCATTGAAGTGGTGCTTCTTTGTTGTCTTCATCCACAAACAGACCACCAAGGATGAAAAGTTCATTCTTCTTGGAGCAGAGGCTTATGTGGTTTTTGGGCACTTGTTCAGCCATGGCCGCCAGGAAGCATTCGTTTTCTCCAACGTCGTACGCCACCGCCGCCTTGTCGTTTATCATGACGATCAGATTCCGCCCGTACATCCCCAGCCTACGGTTATCATTCAGGTACCCTGGCAACAGCTCTTCCTCATCCTCCTCTCCTCCTGCTTCTCCATTCACCTCTCCTTCCTTCTTCTCCTTTTTTGTCTTCTCTGGAAGTTTTCCTTTGAAAGCATCTTTGATGACCTGCAGTTTCTTTAGGAGCTCTGGGTCAGCCTTGATGATGTCATCGGTCTCCACCTTCTCCCGGACGTACTTTTCCGGAAGCAGACGGAAGCGGATGTAGTTAAAAGCTTCACTAAGGGCTTTGGCGCGTTTTTCTTTGTCGCTTCGCACCCATTTCATCAGTGACTCAAACACCACTTCCTCCTTTTCTACATTCAGCATGTCTCCACCGATCAGGGCAAAGAGCTCATGAGGTGCTAGCTGCAAGAATTCCTCTTCATTCACCAGGCTTTCAAAACGGTCTGCTATAAAATCTCGGGCAGCTATGGCTAGCCTGGGCACATTGAGGACCAGGCCAAGCCTAAAGATGGCCAGACAGTTGGCCATGGACAACTTCTTCTGCAGATAGTTCACACAAACTGTAAACACAGATGGAATCTGAAAGCGGTTGGCTACTGCAAAGATCTCTTGAACGTTATCATCTGTCAGCTCAATTTCAGCAGAGTAGAGGTATTTGATGATCATGTCCAGGATGTCTGGGTCAACATCGTCTAAAGCAACCTCTTTGAGGTCTTCTTTGACCTTTCCGTCTTCAGAGAAGAATATCTCCCTGAAATAGGGGCTGCATGCGGCCAGAATGAGGCGATGGCATGGAAGGCAGCGGTCTCCCACTTTTAAAGTGCAGTCCACAAACTTGTTCTCATTCAGCAGCTCTTTCAGGCCATCCTGCAGCAGTGTGCTTTGGAACAAGCGGAGTTCTTCCTTCAGCGCTTTCGGATCCATGGCGGTAGGTGGAGGTAAGTTGCGGAGAACAAAAAAAGGAAGGAAGAAAGAGAGGAGAGAAGGTGGCTGAGATTCTGCTTGCCACACAGTCCTGGCTGGAAAAGGACAGGGCAGAGAAAAGAGTCGCAGTCTGAAGAGGCTGTCATTTAATCTGGGCTTTCTAAATTTAAACTGGGCTTGACCCTCCTCCCCTCTGCTGTCCCCCAATCCTTCTATGAGGAGGGGGAGTGCAATGACAGCAGCTGTCACAGTAAAACAGGCAAAGACCTATGTGAGATTTAACCCTCAGTAGTCTACATTTATTATTCTCATTTTTCTACACTACTCAATGTAATTAAATAACTAATTACGTTGTTTTGAAATAGATTACCAACCAGGACTGAACCAGACCAGCAAATGTTTTGTTCTTCTAAATTCCAGGACATGCTTAATCCTTAGATGTTCATAGTCATTACTGTCATTTTGCTAGGTATTCAATGTATATTATATAATTATTTGTATGTAAAGATGTATTTATATCATCAAATACCTAGGTTCATAATTCATTTTACATTCTATATCGACAGCTTCAATTCGGGTCTTCTGTTTTTTTCCATCTTTTTCAGTATTAAATGCTAATAGTGACAAAGAATTATATATAGTTTTTGCCATGAAAAACTAAAATGTAAAGGAGACTTTACTTTTTCTCAAATTTAACTAATAATAAAATATCTTTTCTTCTACTTACAAACTCAAATCTTGTGTGGGTTCAAAGTTTAGAATCTGCTCTTTCCACAAAATGTCTCCACTTATTTCAATGAGTTACAAATTACAAATTCTACAAATTATGAATTTACATTTACAGCATACAGCTGGATGAAAATGTTGAATATCCCCAGTCAAATTACATATTTTGTCAATTTTCTAAGTGAAAATAAGTTAACACATGCTCTACAGAGAACACACTCAAATATGGCATTTTTCTGCATATTTTAGTGCACAGTTTGTATTTGTTTATTAAAAACACAAAATATAAAATGTGCCAGAAATTTTGCATACGCCCCATTTAATGTTTGTTTTTTGCATGTTGTTCTGCACAGTAATTGTACATTACAATTTGCAGAAGTGTGTTCTCTGCAGAGGATGTGTAAGATGTGTAAGGTCAATAAAAATACACTTTAAGCAGAGGTGCCCAAACTTTTGCACGCAAATCAGAATAAACGAGTGTTGATGCTGTAATATTGTGAGCGTGTTTTGTTGTGTGGATGTATATTTTATTGGTAGTGTGTGGTTGTGTGTGTGTGTGTGTGTGTGTGTGTGAGAGAGAGAGAGAGAGAGAGAGAGAGAGAAAGAAAGAGAGAGACAGAATTCTAACACGTCTCAGATCAGAGTGACAGTGAGTGAAGCAGCTGCTACAACAGGTGATACCCCCCAACACACACATATGGACACACTTAACACACCACCCCACTACACATAACACTTCAAGCTGATCACCATGTTTAGAGTGACTGGAACCTTATTGTTCTTTCCTTAATGCTTTATGGTTTAATGGTTAGAGAGATAGAGAGTGAAAATTAGCATGAACATTATAAAGTACATATCAAAATTGCCACTGACTGTTAGAAATCTGAACTAAATGGAAATAACACATCACAGCTGACATTTAAAACTGTTTGTAACTGCAGTACAGGACCTATTTTGAATCTACTTATGATCTGATAAAATAGGGTGTGATATTGATATGGATCATTCTACCAAATTTGTTCAAAGTCAAATTTTAGACTTTTAATTGACTTGGACTTTCAACTTCAGTCTGTTTGCTTTGAAAGATCCTATATCTTAATTATGCTTATTTTATTAAAACAAATGAATTAAATTGAAATTATTAAAACTTTTCATTTTGTCACTATCAAAATGATCATAACACTACCAAAACTTTACCAAATGTTTCAGTAGTAACAATAGTGACCATTTAAGCTAATTTTGAGCCTAACACAAAAATAATCAATAATCAATACTAATTACGTAATCAAAAATGCTAGCCAGAACATGACCAGCAAGCACAGCTTTGAACAGTTGTACACACTATAATACACTATATATTGTACAATATTCTCAATAAATGACAAGTTTTATTAACCACAGAAAACGTGTTTCAGTAGTGACAGTTCTTAATGTTACACACTGATTTTCAGACTTTGGGACATTTTTAATTCAAAACAATGGGATCTGCTCACCATGAGGCCATGAGGGACAGGGATGCAGTCTCACTTCCTGTCATAAAATGCAGGGGTGTAGCTAAAATAAAGCTACGCCTTTGGACTAAAACTCTCATTAGTGACACAAAAACATGGGACAGTACTGTTTTTTTACTTACAAAATGAAACTCTTCAGTTTCACCAGTCCTCTGCGGATAAGGTTGGACACCCGTGGTCTAGTGGCTTTATTTAGTGGCTTTATATTCTGAATATTTCAAAAATCCCTTTCCAGATCCAGTTCTCTGAAAAACGCACACCGGTTTTTCTGTTTTTCAGCAGTACTGTGCAAAAGTTAGAGACCATCCTTCATTTTTTACATTTAATTCATTTTAAGTAAAATGTTAAAGTTGCACTATGTAAAATATGGGGGTTTGGAGACCTCAGGCTTTACAGAGTGCTGCTTGAGCTCATATGTGCTGATGTTGAAATTTAACAAATCTATGTGATGGCTGAAGGTGTCAAGGAGAAATTCGGCACCAAACCTTTGTTTTCTCTTAACCAGTTCACAAGGATCTTCTTGTTACTTTTTACTGCATTTAGCTTTATTTGTATATTATTACTGTCCAAAGAAAAACATGTATCTCCATTTTTGTCGATTTTTACTTTCCTACATCATTTGAGCTCAGTAGCTGCAAGTTACATTGTGAGAAGATTTCATGATGAATGGACCAATAGAAATGCTCCAAGATTGCATGGAATAAAATCTATTTACATTTACTAACATTGAATGTAAAGAATGCTTTTGCCTTCTCCTGTAAACTTACCATTTTGGAGATATTACAAACACAGTTTGTAACCACAGTACCATTCTTATTTTAACCTACATATGATTTGATGAAATTATAACTTAACAGGTCAAACAGAGCATGTGAAAAAAGTGTTCTAACCATATTACTGATGTGTGCAGGGCCTGCAGTTTAAAAACAGCTCATAAGAGAAGGCTGTGTTACGTTAGAAATAGTACCATAATTAAAAGAGGCTAGGATCGTGTGTGTGGGTAGTGTAGGTGTAACTTAAGTCAAAAGAGTGACAGACAGAGGGGGTACGTGTCAAACACACACACAGACACAGAATGATATCTAGTAGGGGGGTGTATGGGGGTGAATGACAGTTTATCCTGTTAGCGACCACACAGTGGATAACAGTCTGAACATGTGAATAAATAAGCTTAGCCAAACATGCAAAGGTGTTAACCAAAACAAATAGTTTCTAAAAGCAACAGTTGAACAGACAACACCTACATTGTGCCTATTTACATGTTGATGCTATTATTCTTTGCTGGACATTGCTGTGCTATAGTACAATGAAATCAATTGTTTTAGAGACTGAACATCAGAAGATCATAATTAAATGAACATAATTAAAGGTCTAGTGGCTTGGAATTTTGTATTCTGAAAGCACTGTTGTATTGACAAATCAGTCAGTCATCAATAAATAACTCATCACATAGCTTAGCCCTTTGTTTGGTGTTTGTGTTTTTGTTACTCAGTGGGTCTGGTGGACCCACCGCATTATTGTTTTTTTTACAATACAGCCACAACAATTTATGTAAAAATAGCAGATGTTTAAAATATCACAAGTGGCCAGTGTAGGGTTCTCCTTTAGCATCTGTAGCCAGTCAGCAGCCTGTCCATGTTGTCCACCCTCTCACACACATGTACACATATACAAACACATACACACACACACACTAACAGCAGGCCATGTAGGAGGAGAACAGAGTGAAGGGATACAGCACCTCCACACTTTTATTCTCCGCGGGTTCACCCCAACACCATGTGTGTAATATAAAAGTGTGGGTGGTGTACAGTGTGAAGTCATTGAAAATGTGTTATTTTGTATTTTCCTTAGCAAAGGCCAAGGAGTCTGAGGTTGAAATAATAATAAATTGTATCAGTTCTTCTTTTGGTAAACATTGAAAGTGGGTCCCACACACCTGAACACCACTCAAGGGTTAAAATTGCTTTTTTTCTAGCATTTCAAAAATCCCTTTCCAGATCCAGTTCTGTGAAAACATTTTTTCTGTTTTTATACATTCTGTTTTTATATAAAGAAATCTGTAGGGATATTTTTTCACACTTCCAAAGTTCAGTCTTAGAAGTTGGTTGCATTTTGCTTCTCACGATCAAAGTAAACCATAACACATTCAGTGATGCTGTGGTCTAGACTCTAGGGTGTTCTGAGAACACCAGCAGCTTCTTTGTTTGATTTGCAAGTGTTCCTTTCCTCAGTAATGGCTTCTTGACCTCTGTACATTTTTTCAGACCTGTATAAGAGTGAAGGTCGATTTTTTTTGTGTCTCTTAAAGAAAGGTTTAGGCACTGTTTATCTGATGGTGACAAGGTCTTGCACGGTTAGTAGGAGTCCCATTTTCTGTCTTTTATTAGAATTTTTTCACATATTTTCCTTTGACTTTTCCTTATTAAAGTGTATAATCTTACATGTAATCATCTCAGAAATATCTCCTGAAAAATTAACAACGTATACTTTGCATTATATACTTTATACTTGCGTTTTTGATTGGAAATAATAAATGAAACATAGTCTTTGACTTGTGTCCAGGTGATGGCAGCTTGCAAGTCCATGGCCTAAGAACCCAATAACTCAAACTGTCCTCATTGTAGAAGAAAGCAGCAGAAAACAGGCTTTAAAGAGCACTTGCTGGTGTTCAGACATAAATTATCCCCATAAACTGAACATAAAACGTCAACATCTGCCTAATTCTGAGCAGACATCTCATCAACATTCTGCAACCTTAATGCAACCTGACATCAGATGGGGGTAAAACATTCACAGAGGGTGGTGTTCAAATAAGCTGAGAATGTGCAAGAATGAAAAACTTCAGATCTTATTATTGTAATAATTTTTGTTTTATTAAAAAAAAAACCTGGGATAAGACAAACAATATTACACCAAAATTGTCAAAAAAGTATGTCTTAAAATTGAAATGAGGACATTGCAACATTACATTGACAGTGTTAATTATACAATACTGATTGTTCACAGCTATTGTCGTTATGGCTCTTAATCAGCCTCAGATACACATGACATAAAGCACCCATAGCATATGTGCACCCAGTGTCCACTTTATTGGAAACCCCTCCCTTGTAGATGGTGTACAGATACAGACTGTGTCCCATCAGCTGATGCACAGTTTTTTAGCCATTCTTTAAACCTCCATCAATGGTCAATTTCTGACCACAGAGCTGCTCTTGTCTGGATATCCTAGTGGACCACTCATAAACTAACAACCCTGTACCTGATACACTTATACTAGCACCACACACACTACCATGTCAGTGTCAGTGCTTTGTTGAAAATGATCAACCACCCAAATATGATCTGATCAACTATGGTTGTAACTGGAAACTGATCAATGATGAATAATGATAGAGGGGTGGGGATAAACTGTGCAGCAACAAATGGGCTAACTGTACACCTATATAGTGGACATATTAGTAGATGGAATGAAGTGGGGAGTGTTTCAAATGAAGTGATCAAGGAGTTTACTACTGTTCTTAAACACATGTATGCTTTGCTTTTACAGGTACTGCAAACATTTGTGGATCAATTTAGGGTTTAGGCTTTACTCATGGCCACTGCAGAAGTATATATATGAAAGAGAGAGAGAGAGAGAGAGAGCAACTGCTCGTTTGCTTTTATTTTGAGTGTTGAGTCAACGTTCTGTTCTGGAAATTGATGTTTGTGGGAGACTAAGCTGAAAAATGAACATTCTTTTAATTACTAAGCTACTAAGCTACCATTATTATTCACTGATAGACACTGGAATGGCTCTTTGGAACTTAATACAGCTATTACAAAAATACAGCTAAAATACAACTAGTGCTAAAATATAGTTTAATTGATTTAAGCAGGTACAGAAATTATTTACACAACAAATCACAGAAACAGTAAGATGTTAACTATATGAAATATGTATTTCAGCTGTTATGTGCACATCTCTCAGTGAGATTGACACTTGAGGTATTACAGGTATTAACCCAGTATATAACAGTCTATTATAAAAATCTTCTTTGTTCCTCATCCTCCTGTAAGAAAAAAAATGTGATTATATATATATGTACCTATCAGTAGTGATGTTATACTGGGTACTGGAGCTTTAAAGCATGTGTCAAGAAGGTAGGGCACTATCAACTGATGCTCATATCGATGCTTGTGTTGTTTTCCTGGAATGATGTAATTAATGATGGCATGAAGCCTTGTTTAGGGATTGCTTCGAGAATGGGTTTACTTTTGTCAGGCTTCACCGCCATCTGATCGTGTACAACTTTATTCACTTTCCGAGCCCTTTCACTGCCAAATTAACGGACACTGTCACCATTCAGTTGAAGCATGCTGTTCTGTTTACATTAATTAATTAAAAATAGTACAACTGATGTGTAACTAATAGTATTGTAAGTTTTATCATCAGAACGAAAAGCAGAGAACTGTACCATATCTCTATCAACATTAGGTTTTGAACCACATATTATTTAAAGTTTACATCTACATGACATTACAAATGTAGTACACTATCAGAAATCTGATATTGCAATTGCTTACATCAGCCATTTATTTTATATTGGCTTTTGCTGGTCTAAGTTTTTACACTCACAACATGGTCTTACAAAATAGTTTTACATACTTATATATTTTTGACAGTTAGGGGGCTCTAGCGAGTACTTGAAGCCTTGAGAAATTAGCCAAACTGCTTCAAGAAATCTTAAGTTGACTTCAGGAAGCCTTAATACAGTTCTAGTCACTGCTACTGCTCTCTAAATTATGCAATGTGCTTTTGGAAAGATAAGGGGGAAATTGTGTGAATTAGATTTTTTCACCTTAATATCGCTTTGTGTTAGAGAGTTTACCTGCTCGTGAGACCACACAGGTCTTTTTGCACTCCTCCTCAGTGTCAAAGCGGTTGCGGTTGCCATCACAGCCTCCATACCAGAACTGGGCACAGGCATTGGCCTGCCGGTCGTAATACCAGCGGATATTATAGTCACGACATGGACCCTGGTCTAGTGTCAGTTCACAGCGAGGGTCCAGGGGTACAATTTCTGACCATAGATAAGACACAACATACAATATTACTTACATTGCATTACATCCATTATATACTTACTGTACATTATTCAGAAAGGGTTATGTTGCTGCATTTATGACACCTGGAAACAGGAAATTTTCCACATCTGAAATTCCTACTTTTGCACCTCAACTTCAGCTGTTTAATGTCAGAAAAAAATTTAAAAAGCCCCCAAAGATTATTTCATTTTTAACTATTTGGTGAAACGGTCAACCGTGTTAGGGTTATGATTAGTTCCAGGTTTAAGACCAGGATGAGGGTTAGGTTAAGGTTTTGGGTTGAGGTTAAGGTTAGGGCCAGGATTAAACTGGCAGTGTACTGCAGATAAAAACTACGTTTAGTAGCAAAATAATGTCTTTTTGGCCAAAATGACAATGTTGTTTGAGTTTGTTCGGTGCAGCGTGCACCACTTGCTAACAGAACTTGTTTGTTCTGAGACCTCTAGCAGTCCTGGGATGTCCACTGAGCTCTTATTAACAACAGCTCTCTCGGAGGTATCTTTTAAAAAGCTTTTAAGCAGTACACATAATTGCCCCAAAACAGCTTCATTTATTTTAAAAGTGTATTTTGGATATGGCAATTCACCATTATAAGCAGGAATTGGAAGTTGGGTAGCAAGTGGGTTTTTCCTTCTCAGAAGTTGGAAACATCTCAGTTCCAACTCAGTCATGAATGCAGCATGTGAGGGAATAAAGTGTGAGGGCATATTTTTGTGTCTGTGTGTATTTACCTTTAGGTAAAGGTGGCCGTGGGGCAGGGACATAATGCACTGAACTGGATGATGTTATTACAGTTGTTGATGATGATGATGATGACGACGATGATGATGATGAGGTGGAGGAGGAGGAGGAGGAGGATCCTGATGAAGCCCTGTCGTGTGAAGATGTTCTGTTGCCTGTTGGAATGTCTACACTGCTGCTGTGCTCTGATATGGAGTGTGTGTAAGTATCTGCTGTGTGTGGCTCTCGAGGGACCTTACAAGGGAAAAAAACATTTTTAGGTATTAACTATTTGAGCAAAGGTTCAAAACAGAATTTTGTAAACATCAATTAATGCATGCAACACTAAAAAATCAAAAGTGAAGTCAACTTGAAATTTTAAGTCGATCTTCTGCATAGCAAAATTTTTCTCAACTTAGTTTAGTCAAAAGTTCTAGTACTGCATCTTAGGTCAGCTTAACAATTTGAGCTTACTCAAAATATAAATAAATGAGGTGGCTTACTTATAGGTTAAAATTGTCTAATTTTATTATTGTTAATTTCCAGCTACAGTCTACAACTCCCACTGTCATACAGTGCCCCAAGGCTATGGGCTTCCTCCTCTTAGACATCTAACCATGGAGGGCTGTGCCATCACCAGAATTCAAACTCATAATCTCTTGATGAATAGGCAGTGGGACAGTTGTGACTCTCAGGAACCACAAAGCACAAATTTTTGTGTCCATTCAAACAATAAATTAACTCTGATCATTGTGACCTGTGCTTAAATTGAGAGCATATTCTGTGTTTAGCTAAAGCACACATGACTGTGGCATGACTGTCTAATGCCAGATGCCAGATCATCAGGAGACAGGAGATCATGAGTTTGAATCCCAGAGATGCCTTAGCCCTCTGTGGTCACAAGTCTGAGACAGGTAAGCTCTGACTCCCCCAGGCTGGGGATACTGTATGATAGGGTGAGTTGTAGCCTGTGGGTGGGAACTGGTAATGACTAAACTGGGGAGGAACAGAATAAACATCCAACAAGAAAAGGAAGCAACTTCAGCTTGTAAGCAACCAGATTCATTGTGAGTAAGCTCAACTTTTTTTGTACACCTAACTTAGATGCAGTAAGAAAAATAAAAATGAAAAAAAAGCTATGGGGATGGTTGACCTAAAACTTAAGTTGACCTGACTTCTAATTTTTTTTTACAGTGTGTACTATACTCACATCTGGAGTAACTGGTGCAGGCAAACTGTCCCCTCTGCCAGTGGATGTCGCAGTATGAGTTCTGGTGTGTGTTTCACTGTGTGTCCCAGCATGAGTTCCTGTGTGTGTTTCTCCTCGGTTGCTCTCGTACACGTTGTTCCCGTAACTGCCAATCCGGTTGCCATTGTGACCAAATCCATATGGGTAATTGTTGATGCGGTTGGCATGGTTACCAAATCCATTACCATTGATGCGATTAAAAAATGGAGCTCCATTCTCATCCTCGCAGAACTGACTGACTAGTTTAGATTCCAAAGCTAGAGAGAAGGGAAGAGAGAAACATGTGTTATCAGTCTTGTAGACTTCATAAATCTACAAACATGGATTTTTTTTAGTTTTGAGATTCTTTTAACATGTCTTTTAGTTTTGACCTACACTACATGTCTAAAAGCGTGTAGACACCTGCACTGTAAAACTCACTGCACATCTTAATGAAAGAATTAAGTTAATACAACTTAAATACTACAGAAATGTGGAGTAATTTAATGTGAAAAACGCAAATTAACTCAAAAATGAATAGTTGAGATAGTAACTCAGTCATTTTGAGTAAGATTGTTTTTTTCAGCATATTTTGAGTTGAGGTAACTTTATTTAAATGTATTATATTCACTATTTTTATTTAACTTGACCTTACATGCAAATACATACAGGCAAAAAATGGGTTGGTTTTGAAGACTGCTAATGTGTGGCTTAATGTGATAGACAGTATAAATGTTTACATAACTTTATTTTGATGATTTCAGACTCAAAGATCCCATCAAACAGGATCTTTGAGTTGAATAAACATATTCAACTCAGCTTTATTAACAGTATTAACAGGATTGTTCCACTCTTTGCTGCAGTAAAAGCTTCTGCTCTTCTGGGAAGCCTTTAGGTAAAGGCTTTAGATAGTCAGATAGTGACTCCAGCTTATCCCAAAAGTATTAGATGGTGCTTCATCACTCCAGAGAATGCAACTGCACTGATCCACTGCCCAATGCAGCAGGGCTTTATTCCCCTTTAGCTGATGCTTGGCATTGGGCATTATGACCTTATAGTCAGGTGCAGCTGCTCCAGGATGTCTAATTCTATTGGCAATGCTTTTCTATGGACATTATATGAACTGTGTGTGCGCAGTTGTACGCCAGTGACAATAATAGGTAACCTCACTAATAGGTAAAGCTCACTAATTATAAAGGGTGTCTGGATACCTTTGGACATACAGTGTGTAATAATACCGCAATTTGTCCAAGCATTTGTCAACAATGTTGAATATGAATTATCATTGAACTGGATTTTACAAGAGGTCAGCACACTTTGTTTTTAAAACTCTGGCCTTATGATTAGAAAATAGCAGCTGGCAGGACAATCAATTTTCAGTTTTCATAACAAGGTCATGCTCCAAACAGAGAGTAGTTTCAGGTAAATGATTGCCACAAATGCCTACATCCCAAACTCTGCTGAATGTGGAATGGTTGAGTTACCTGGCAGTTAATTCATCTATAAGATACATTGTTCTTATTGTCAGGATGAGTCAACATGTTGCAATGATGAATTTAGATTTATCGCAGAAATTAAGCAGGGTTTACCAACAGCAGTTCCTAAGCTTTTTAACAGTGTGACTCTTTTTGGGATTTAAAATATTTTGTGACCCCCTCCTGACCCCCAGAATTAGAAGCTTGGTTGGCAATTGGTTGAAAGCACGGTTGTCAACATATCCAGTAAATGCAGTGGTCATGTTTTAATAACTCAACCAAAAATCAATCTAATTATGCTCCCAGCTGTGAGTGACCTCTACTAAAGGGATGCCATAGACCAGTGTTTCCCATCTCCAGTCCTGGACTGTCCCCTGCGCTGTACAGTTTTGTGTTTCCCTTATCTAAAAAGCCTGAGCCATATCATTAGCTAATTATCGGAGGGTAACCCTCAGGGCCTTCTAGGTCTTCAGAAAAGGCCTGATGATTCATGATCATGTTTTTATTTACACTCAAATATTACAGTACTAATCTTGTTTCATTGTTAAGTTAAGGATGGAAACGTAGCCTTCAGAATATCCTAGATATGTCCTTGACTGTGAATACGAGATACAGGTTAATCAGTGGGTTATTAGAAAGAGAAAACAGCAGTGGAAGCTCCATACCAGGGCTCACTACTGAAACTGCTACAAGGTAAACTATATGCTAATATGTCTGTCACAAGCTTAAAGTAAAACATGTAATGTCTTTTAGAAGCTTCGAATATCTGTGCTTAATCTTAATCCATCCCACCTCAAACCCTGCAGCAGTTACATTCTAGTACCTAATTGCAGCAGAATGTAACTGCTGCACTGTTTAAGGTGGAATGGAACGTTTGATAAAGAAGGTAACTTCAGCCTCATCAGAAAGTGTACATGTGTACCACAGTTAGCTTAGCACTAACAAACTACTAGAATCCTATATGTAGGCTAGCAGATGTTAGCATCATTGTTCAGGTAAGTTTTTTCCTCATGTTTTGACCAATGGCTGAAGGTCTAGTTCCAATAGTCACGGTTTACCACTGCTTATTATCAACCCCTTCTTGAACAATACTACGGAGTGAGAAACACATTTGTTGACTATGTTGAAAACTGTTTTCAGTCATTAACCAATTGTGTAATATTAAAGCATCAGTTACCCCAAATTCAAACTAGACATGACATTACGTTCACACAGAGAGTGAAGCCCAAATGACCATGCGTCCAGCCCACACTGAATCTGAATCAGCACCATTACATGACTGCTTTAGGTATCAGTTCTTTTCATTTACTTTTCTTTTTTTTAGAAAGTGTTTTACAGCAGTTTTAAACCTAGACTGCACAAACAGCAGATCTGTTTTTATTAAAATCACAATCATAAGTTTTTATTCCTGTTGTTGAATGATAAAAGGCCTTTCTTAGGACCTAGGGCTGAATGACATTTTACAAGCTTTGAATACTCATGGTGTTTCAGAATGAGCACCTGAATACTCATTCTCGAAACCACTCTCAAAAACAATCTCATAATCAAGCATAATTTCAAGTAGGTTTGTCATTGTAATTCGAAATATATCCAGTAGGTGTCAGCGATGTATTAATAGTGTATATGGCACAAATGAACTGAAATCAGCTGTGATGTAGGGCATGTAGTCTAGACAAGCAGTATTTGCACAAGTATCACTATACATACATCTTTGAAATGATTTATCAGATTTTTCATGCTGCCATGATGTACTCATCTCTTATTGCAACTTTTGCACTAAGTATCTTTCTTATTGTCCAATAAAATAAAACGCTCCCACATCTGATTTCTTGGGCATCTTTACACTTTTGCTTCAGTGGAACAGTGTAGTTTGGTGCACACTGAGACAAGCTGACGTGGAGGCCTAGCATAAATTTATGATGCAATCAACATAACCAGCTAGAATTTAAATTGTTATTTTTTTAAACATTTTCCATATATTAACAAAAAAGCTTCTAAATACTTAATATAGAAGCAAACACCAACATAAGGAACAAATATTTGAGTATTCTAATTATTTTGACCTGTCCTGATAATATCAGTACCCTCCAGAAACAGTGCAATTACTAGGTTGCTCTTAAGTTGTTCCACAACTACTATACTAACAAGATCAAAGTAGCGAAGTAGATTACCAATTTAAATATCATTTACAATGCTATAGAAAGTTAGTGTGAGTAGAAGTGGGCAATGTTTCATTACAAAGAAAGCAGAATTAGTCATGTTTAATTGGTTTAGTGATACACAGTATGAAATGTTGAATAAAATTTCACATTTATTACATTTTTTACATTGACCATATGTATAACCTTATTATATTATTGGGAATGTATTACATTTGTAAGTTGACCATTTTTGCTCAAATATGTTTTCAAAATGGATGATGTAATATTATTAGTATTAGAGCAGTAACCAGAAGTCTCCGAGAATGCTTTTGTGCTGTACACAGGAATCGACCCAGCCTGGAATGAGGGGAGCAAGTACGAGACAAAGTCTTAGAAGTGTTCGTTATTTCAGAAAAAGCCTCCACTTTTAAGACTTTTTGTATGACCACTTTTGGTTACAACTGTAACTTGCCTATTCTGGAGAAAGTAATCAGGTCAAATGACAATCATATGAAAGAAATTATATTTACAATAGAGAAAAACAATAAATTAGTCAAATGTGACTGGAACACAACCAGAGGTATTACACATGGTCAATGTAAAATATCATAAATTTTCAATAATGTAATGAGGCATTACATTATCAGTAGAAATCTTGATACATTGTCAGACACTATTATTGGGTTTTATCAAATTTTTGACCGAGTAAAAAATTTGTATTATATTTCAGGCTCTTATTACATTGCTGGGAAATTATTACATTATTGGGTTCTGCATTGTCTTTGCAGAAAAATGTGTTTTTTTTCACAGCAGAGGGTTCTCACCCATCCCTTTTCACTCCTCATTACTCGCTAGAGGCTCAACAGAGCCACAACATTTTACAGAGAACCAACAGTATATGTATATTGTATTTATTGATCATAACAATTTAAAATATCTGAGAAAATATATACTAGGGGGCCTGCAGAAAGGGGTTAGATATTGTGATATAACATTTTTTTCCATATTGCTCACCCCTAGGAGTGTGTGATTTTAATATAACTTCACGTATGTAGGAAAAGTTGAACAAGTGTGCATGGATTAAAACATTTTTAAAATGGAGGTGTATTTGTTACATCAGATGGATGACAAAAAAAACACTTCAAAAGCACTCTTGGTGTGAATTAGTCTTTAGACTTACACAAACAAAGTTTTCTGACTTACGTCAAAATTTTACACTTACGCTATAGACACCTACAAACTGAACTGTACGCTATGTGGAGCAGCTGATTTACCTGGCAGGGTGTTGAAGTCATCTATCAGATACATGTGCTCAGTGTCAGGTTGAGAAGCGATGAGATTCAGCTCACTGAGAAACTCTGCTTGTGTTGGATCGCTGATGTTAACAATACCCAGAGCATACATCTCAATGTTGGCTGCGTGGGCCTCCCTGACTGCAATGTCCAGCACCACCGGATCCCGCTTGTCCGTCTGTCCATCTGTGATGACAATGATGACCTTGCTGACACCTGACCGGGCACTGTAGAAAGCTTCCTGTGTAGCCTTTCGAATGGCAGTTCCTGTATATGTACCTTCACCCATATAAGGCATCTTTCGGATGGCCTGTTTGACATCCTGTTTGGTCATGTATCGGGCCAGATTAAATTCCACTCTGGCCTCCAGGCTGTAGAGCACCACTCCAATCCGTGTGGCATTGCGGCCCACTGTCACTCTGTCCACCAGTGCCGTCACAAAATCCTTTATGATCTCAAAGTTCTCCGGGCCAACGCTCTCTGAGCTGTCAATCACAAACACAAGCTCCATGGGACGCTCTTTGCATTTGATTCCGCAGCCTGAAATGTTTTCAATCAAAGGAAGTTTAAGATGTTGGAAAGTGGAAACAGAGTTTGAATAGAATTTGTAGCCATAACTGTAAATTTAAGAGTTTGAGAAGACAGAGAATCATACCACAGATCTCCTTAATCATTCTGATGATGTCTTCTCTCTGAAAATGAACATCATATGAACATGAATCATCAGAAATGTAGTTTTGTGTCCAAAACTCTGGGTGATTTCAGCTAAAGGAGTATATGTGGAATTGATTTGGCTGAAATCACATAAAACTGGAAATACATAAATAAACCATATTATAGCAGTGATATTACACTGATGTTAGATTGAGTTGTTGAAAACTGGTTATCATATTTGTTGGATAGTTGCTAATATGCAATTGCCTGATATCACAGTAGTGGTGAAAGGAACCAGATGTCTGAAGAGTTTAATGCTTCTAAAAGCTTCCTCACAGAAAGTTTTTACATGAAATGATTATTAATACACTGCCTGATGTCTGACTGATATTTTACAATAGCTTAGCAATAAGATTTTTTAAACTGTTTTTTTTTATCCATTTACGGTGGAAAAGTATATGCAGGACGTTTAAAGGAAAAACTGTCGAAGCCAATGTATTTGAAGTTAATGTTTTCAAATTTCTCACTATTTTACACTTAGTTATAAAAACCTACATTACTCATAAAAACTCAGAAGACGTGTAGGTTCACTGGTCATTTTGGATAGTGAGTAAAATGGCTATATTTGTGGTAGCAACTCCTGGCTCCTGTCACCACCATCTGTAAAGAAACCTGAGTTTCCTTATAATGAACTATTTCACATCAAATTACTCTCAATTACTTTGTTTACATAACAAGACTGATTATGCAGAAATGTTTTAAAATCAATGGAATTCCCCTTTAAAGCATGAGTTACTATGTATCCATACCAGACATGACACATAAGTAGCAGTGAAGTGCAAAAGTGAAGACCAAGTAACCATGCATTAAATCAACACTGCCTCCGACAGTTTCTTTTGGACAAGACCAACAAATTAGCAATTTCATGGTTCTCTCCAGAAAGGGGTGGTTGTTTTTTCCTTTTATAACTTATACATCAATGTTGAACACTGTAGTAATACAGGAGAAAATGGAAAGAAACCTCACCGTCAGCCCTGATTCTCCCTTCACTCCTTGTCTGCCCTGAAAGAAGAAATAGTGTTATGTATGCCTTGTTGATGCTATGTTAATAGCATGTGTATGTCCTTCTCTGTATGTGAATAGATAGCCTGTGCCCTTTGGATGTCTTGGAGATGCCGCATGATCTATGGATGTTCCATGGAGGTGCTGAGGATGCCCAATGCCCTGTGGATGCCCCGTGCTTTCCCTGTCCCCTATAGATCCTTCATGGATGTCCAGTGGATACTCTGTGGATGCTCTATTGATGTGCTGTATTGCATGCATGTCCTGAGAGTGCCCCATGCTCTATGGATGAGTTGATGATAGCCTATACCATATAGATCTATAAAATGTCCTGTGCCATGTCGATGCCACATGAATGCCATATTAAGGGCCCTGTGTCCTGTTCAGTGCCCTATAAAATTCCCTGTTCCATGCAAATGCTGCATGGATGTCCTATTCCCTGAGTATGCAATGGGGACTGTGGATGCACCTGTTCCTTATGGATACCCTGTGGATGCCCATCGAATGTGTACATCAGAAACATGTAAGCATCACATACTAAGATTCTGACAGCATACATGCAATATATAGTACAACAGTTTCACCTTGTCTTCCCAGCTGTAACCCTAATCATGTAATGCTATAACACAGCAGCACTTACTGGTTGTCCTGGATTACCAGGATCTCCTATGTCACCTTTGTTCCCTTTTATACCTTTTTCACCTTTAGAACCACGGTCACCCTAGATAAAGAGGTGGAGAGAAAGTAAAAAGCTTTTAGACATTTTCTAGAAAAAAATCCATTCACACTGTATATACTGAGCTTTTCTACATTGACACAGCTGGGTTGAACTTTCACCTTTGGCCCTGCGAAGCCATCGCCAGGTGGTCCTCTTGGCCCAGTCATGCCCTGAGATCCATGCTCACCCTGAAAAAACATAAAAACAAAATAATAACAGGTTTGTTTACACATATACAGTACTGCACAGTCTGTTGGAGTCTATGCATGTATGTCAGAATCAGAACCAGAATAATCTATTAGCCAAGTATGTATTTACTAAAGTTACTTGGAGATGTTTTTGTTTGGACAGAGTTGATATGCTTGTGTGTGTGTGTGTTACCTTTGGCCCTTGTACTCCCTGTCCTGGTGGTCCTGGAGCACCTGGAGGTCCTGGTCTTCCAGAGTTGCCCTAGAGATTTTCGAAAGGATGCTTAACTTAAACATTTGAAAAGGCAGTTTATAAGGAAGGGTTAGGATTTAGCCTCAGTGGATTAGTATCTGCGTGTCCTAAGATGACTGCTGTGTATCTGGAGTTTTTATGTTTTACAGGTGGACTGACTGGATTTGTTTCACTGCATATGAAACATGTGTAGATGCCTGTATGAACATGGAAATGGTATCATGTTAAAGATATGGTATACGGTAGTCACTCAGGCTTAGGCTGAGTTGGATGATAGATTATGCTGAGCCTGGATACAGTATGCTCTGTAATTTAATACATGAGTCAAACGGTTAATTGAACTTTAGTGCCCACATTTGGTACATATGAAAATTTATAGATTAATTTCCATCAAAACATGAAGGATATAGTGTAGATTTATATTATAAACTATTTATACTATGGTCTATAGGTGTGTATGAAATAGTGAAGTTAAGGAAGTTTCCACAATTAAACCCTATTTCTGTCATACTCGGAGTCGCAGATATATCTGGCGAGTCACTGGTGGGTCCAGCATGTGTATACTCAAGTTCAAAAGCTTCTCTGCCAAGTTGCCTTACTGTGTATGTAATTCACATAGCCCCATGTTTGGACGTCTTGTGCAAAATGATACCACATATTCTGGTAAAAGAGATTACGGTTATATATTTGTGTCCAATGAGTTTTATTTATACCTCATCAGTCCACAGCACTTGTTTCCAAAATGCCTCTGGCTAATCTAGATGTTTTTGCATACGTCAGAAGTTCATTTTTGTCTCAGATGCGGTTTCCTTTTGATGACTTTTCTATGTGGATCATACTTATGCAAGCAACGCTGCACTCCTGTGTCTTGGTCCTCTACATAATGCCTTGACTTCTTAATGACATTTTGGACAGTGGAAATTGGAAGCACTTATTTTTTTATAGCCTTCCCCTGCTTATTAGGCATCAATTAGCTTGATTTTCAGATCCTCAGCTAGCTGATTAGAGGATATCATGGTTGAGCGTTAGCACAAATTTGAATTTGAGTTTGAGAGAGAGAATTTATTACACTCTGGACTTGTCATCAGTTGACAAATTTTAATGCACTTCTTCACTTCTTCACCAGCCCTAACAAGTCAATTAAGGCCTTGCAAATTAACCCCTTAATATTCCAGACTTACTACATATTAAGGCTTATTATTCAGTAAGTGCAGGGACTTGACTTGACTTACAGGGATATATTTATGCTAATCAAATGCTAATCAAAGTATAAAGTATGCAGTATATAAAGTGCAGAGGTTGTGTTTGTGTCTATCCTCATTTGAATTTGACTTTTTTTTTTTCTGTTGATGTGACATACCGGTGGTCCTTGTAGCCCTTCTCCTGGAGGTCCTGGTAGTCCTGGCAACCCTCTGAACCCAATGTCACCCTGAGATGTACAGATACACACTTCATATCCATCCTCAGCATATCCTCACACAAACACAAACACACACACACACCGCAGGATGGGTTAAAGTGGATACCTTTGGTCCTTGGATACCAAATCCCTCTGGACCAGGCTCTCCTGGAAGCCCAGGAAGCCCAGGAGGACCCTGATAATAATGAACACAGACACATGCACACATACATTAAAAAAATCATTACTAATGAATATAATCATACATAGGTCTAATTTCTGAAAAGTTAACAGAGCTAAGAAAGAGTACAGTCTGTTCCAACATACTGCTGGTCCAGGATAGCCATCTCCTTTTGGCCCAAATGGACCAGAAGGACCTGGGTCTCCACGGTCACCCTGAGAGACAAAACAGAAAGAGACAACAAGAATCAGACAGATTCTGGTTCTGGATAACAGTTAATGCAGATTTGTGAAGCATAAGCTTTCTAGTAAGTAAATATTACTTTGAATTACCTTTGGTCCAGGAAGGCCATAGCCTGTTTCCCCCAAGGGGCCAGGAGGACCTGGTGGACCTATGTCACCCTGTAAAAAAGAAACATAAAAACATGTCTGTAATAAATCACAGCATTGTGAAATTATTCATAAGTACTTCAATGCAGAGCTATTTTATATGTGGTTATGTTTGTCTGCACACATACACTACTTTTCAAACGTTTGGAATCATGTCATATTAATACAACTTCTGACTGCCATGTGGAAAAGGGACATCAACAATATCTTTTCACAGGCTCCCTATTAAATTTAGAATAGGTTAAATTATGTGCTTTTAAGGCATGACAGCACTTTGCTGTTTTAAATGCATTTGTTGTTTTAAATGCACTCTTATAAACAAACCTGGATTTGACTTAACTTTACAATGTAGACTGAAATATTATGAGACCTTAAGATAGTTTGTTTTATTGTTTTATTAATGTTTTATTCAATAGTCAAAGTATTCTGGGAACAACAAGAAGTCATTACTTCTTTTAGATTTTGTCATACTTTTCCAAACACGAGGCTTTCTGGATATTGCACGTGTAATCTTTTATACCTTCGGTCCTGCTAGTGCACGTCCTGGTAGCCCTGGTAAGCCCAGCCGCCCTGGTGATCCTGGCTCACCCTACAGAAGGACAAAACACATCACTCACAACAAAGACCCTATGGACAAGTAATGCTTTATGGGCTTTTAGCTGTTTTCAGAACCATGTCTTTTGCAGATGGTAAGCCGTGTAAGAAACAACATACACAAGTATAGATGAATATACTGTATCACTTTCCTCACCAATATATAAGGTTTTGTTTGGAAGCTGTGAATCTTGAAATGAGTTCTTATTTTATTGGCCTTTGCTCACCTTTGCTCCCGATGGTCCAGCGATTCCTGGAGGTCCAGCTAAGCCACGGATTCCTCTCTGGCCCTGGTCACCCTACACAACAGCATAACAACCAATGCATTACACCACAACTGCACTCTACTGGCTTTATAGTATACATTGAATATTGATGGTCAACAACTCTACTCCCTATGAGTTTAGTTTAGTCCTAATCTGCTACAACTGATACAACCAGCACTGATACAACCAGCACAACCATCTAAGTGTTGGCTTTACTATTCTGAGATTGAGAGTATACAGAACATGAATTCTAAGAGGTTTTTAAGCATATAGGACTGAATATATGCCAATGTCCAACATGCATACTTCAGTGGATTTATTATTGAGCATAGTGTTGGTGGACACTGTTGTCCCATAATGCAATTAAAAAGGGAGGAGCCTCTCATACAAGCAGACTTTATAAACATGGCAAAAGTTAAGTGCTAGCTAGCTAGTTAAAAGGATATTCCAGTTTTCCCCCAAAAGTTCTGCATAGTTAAATGATCAAGATGTAAACAAATTCATTCAGAGTGGTTTGATGTGAAATGCACTACTCTATGCACTATAAGGAAAAAATAGTCCCCAATTACCACTATTTAACTAATATCAACAAAACACATAAAAAATATGGTGGCTTTGGATAGTAAATATACCTCTATAATAGTGCTTATATTTGTTGAAGACATTGCAACCCCTGCTTCCTATCACCACTACTGTAAAGAAAGTTGGCAAGATACTGTACAATGAAAAATTTCATATCAAAACACTCTGAATGACTTTTGTCATGTCCAATATGGTCCCTTAATCAAATTTGGATCACTATATTATAATACTATTATAGGGAACATAATTTGTGATGGTAGTAAACATCATGTCATACAAGTTTGCGACAGCAGATTCCATCACATGAACACTATAAATGTCGTGCCACCAGTCCACTATAACCACTGCGTTTAACTGCGCACATGAGAAGAATTTTCTACATCTGTAACAGGTCTGAAGAGAGGTCTATAGAGATGCTGCCATTGTAGCTTGGCTCGCTAATCCTACTCAGAGAAGTTTTGCATGAATCTTCAAACCAAACAACGCAGTACATAATTCCTCAGTAGTGCATATCTTTTCTCTTGTTAGTCTTCTCTCTCTGTAATGATTGATACAATGCAACTATATATTTTTGTAATACAACTAGAGCACAGAATGATTTCTAAAGGAAGAAGAGTGTTGGTGGCCACTCAATTTAGAGCAAAGAGGAGGAGAAAGAGATCTTACTTTTTCACCCTGAGTGCCAACCCCAGGTGCTCCCTCTGGTCCTCTTAAACCTGGAACACCAGGTTCCCCCTAAAATACACAAACATAAACACTTACCCCACATCCGAATTACGTTGACATACTCTTCTCCAGAGCCATAGACATGATCACCCCACAGTCAAAGTATTCTCATCACACATTGTGTGTTATCATGTGCTGTTCAATTGTCTTGTAACCATTTTGAAACTCCATGAACTTGTCTGCGTGTCAAATTTTATGTTTCTGTAAATGTTTCTCTGTCCTTAAGATATAAAAGCTTAGAAATATGGTTCCAACATTTCCTGAATCTGTAAAGTGAGTTATGAGGCTATGAAGAGGGATTGCGATGCACATCATCTGCTGTTCACCATGTGTAATTGGTGGATTCTTGTGTCTGTCTACAATTTGTGTGAAACTGACCAATGGACACACAGGAAATCACTAAGGTCTTATCCATCATGCTGGAATCCCTTCATTCTTCATTCAGTCGACATCGGAGACACATGTGAAATGGAGTGCAAAGAGTTTACTGCCACGTACGTTGCTGCAATGGTTTTGGAAAGTAGCAACGAAGATAATGGAGCATATTGATATGAAAAAGATGGATATTATTATGCGTAGGTGGCTTTAAAGGCGAATTTAAGAAGATATGCAAAAATTGAGAAAATGCCCTCAGAACTTCCAAGATGGAAAAAACTCACAGTTGTCGTGAACACAGCATATTTATCTGTTTATGCCAACTATTACCTTTTGCCCTGGAGCTCCATCCTCTCCAGGTAGACCTGGCAACCCTGACAACCCAGGTGCTCCTGGTTCACCCTGTGGATAAGAAAGAGTCACTTCATTCAAGTGCTGTTACTACTACACATAAGTCTTGCAGTAAACTGAACATACAAATCCACTTCTACATAAAAACCTAACCAAAATTCTTTAATGCATTTTTTCCCACATAATTCTTCATGCTGACCTTTGGTCCTGGTTCTCCCAAACCTCTCTCTCCCGGTGCTCCGGACTCTCCTGGTAACCCTTGATCACCCTTTGAAAGCACATACAGATACACATTCATTTTTCATATAAAGTCACCATCCACTTGCCAGCCTCTACCCCATCTTTGGTCAGTTTCTGATGACAGCACTGCTGTTGAACCAGATATTATTCTGGTAGTGGACTGTTCTTGGCACAGCGGTCTCTAACTGTACACCAGCAAGGTGAAGCTACAAGGAAGAGTTTCTAATCTTGTTAAGTGCTGCCGATTCCTGATGACCATGTGGATCATGTTTCTCCAGAATATCCTGTCTTCTGGTTGTCCTCTACTTTCAATTATTATTTTCCAAATGTATTGGTTCTTCTGAGAATATGTTCAAAATAAGAGAGCTTCAGTTTGGTTATCTGGGTTTCAAGTGAGAGGTAAAGCTGGTTTGGTTAAGGGTCCATTTTATTTGTTTTATTTTTGTTTGAGAGATATACTCTCAAAAGTCTTCGCCAACACCATCAATATTTTTCCTGTCTCACTTGTTTATTGTCCAGGTTTCACATTCATAAAGAACCCCAGTGAAGACCATAGCTTGGACAATTAAGATCATTGTCTGTAGAGACAAATCATTGCATTGGAAGAACTTTTCAAGCTCCTTCATCCTTGTTCTGCCAAGCGGTGTCATATTACTTGAATGCTGGATCCTTTGTTGTAAATAATTAATTCGAGTAGGCAAAATGTGTCTACAATTTCCACATCTTCTCCATCAATGGCAGTTAGTGGTCTTTCCTGTTGTCATAACCTTAGTCTTATATAGATTTGCAGTCCCATCTTTTTCCTCTGTTCTTTAACCTTCCTTATAAGGGCCTTTAGGTCTTCCAGATTTTCTGCTATGAGTGCTGTATCTTTCACTTCAAAGGTTATTGAGGTTTCTTCCACCAATCTTGAATTTGTGACATCTTCCTCCAGTCCTGCTTCTCTCCTTATATGTTCTACATATAGGTTGAACATGTATGTTGATAGTATACAGCCTTATCTTATGCCTTTTCCAGTGTGGAACCAATCTGTTTGTCCATTTTCTATCATGATCATGTAGAGATCAGTATGTTAGATGCTGCGGTATTCCCATTTCCCTGAAGACATAGTTTTACATAGTCAACACAGTCGAAGGCTTTGCTGTAGTCACTGAAACATGTTGACTTCCCCCTTAAACTCCTTGGATGTTTCAATAATCAAGTGTGCATCAGCAATGATCTCTCTTGTCCCTCTGCCTTTCCTGTATCCCGCTTTCATGTCTGGCATTTCTCTTTTAATGTAAGGCTCTGTGTTGAATGAACTTGAGCATAATGTGGCTGCCATGTGATACAGTTTCTAATAAATTAGCATCAATCGTATTGTACACAAAGTAGCGATGGGATGCTTTTACCTTTGGTCCTGGGTAACCCTCGCCCGGCAGGCCCCTGACCCCAGGAGGGCCACGTGGCCCCTCCACTCCCTGACAAAAAACCCCACAATAATTAATAATCAAATCAACATATCATTGCTACACCCAGAAACTCATAAAAACACATCATCTGGACGGCAGCATATGTTGCCAAAATGTATATATACGTATATATAAGCCCAGAGGACACAGTGTCCATGATTTTCAAAAACAATTTCAAATGTTGATTTGTCAGACCCCAGGACACTTTTCCCCTCAGTCCATTTTAAATGAGCCCAGAGAAGGCGGCGGGGTTTCTGGATCCTGTTTATATATATTTTTTATCAAGTTTTAACTTGCATTTATACAGAGATTTATCCAGAGTCTCTGAATCTTTTAGTGAGATTATGTACTGTAGATGATGAAAAGCCAAAGTCCTTTGCTATTTTATGTTGAGAAACATTATTCTTGAATTTTGCACTATTTGCCTGTGCAGTCTTTCACAGAGTGGTGAACCCCTAATCATCTTTACTCCTGAAAGACTCAGCCTCTCTGGGATTCTCTTTTTATATTCAATCACATTACTGACCTGTTGCCAATTAACCATCAGGTGTTTTTTTAGCATTACACAACTTTTTACCAGCCTTTTGCTGCCCCCTGTCCCAACATTTTTTGGAATGTGTTGTTCGCATCAAATTGAAAATGGGCATATATTTTTTAAAAAGCAATACAATTTCTCAGTTTCAACATTTGATATGTTGTCTGTACTATTTTGAATTAAATATAGGGTTTAAATGACTTGCATATCATTGCATTTTGTTTTTATTTACATTTTGCACAGCGTCACAACTGTTTTGGAAATGGGGTTGTATAATGCCAGTTGGTTCTTCATACATATGTTCTTCAACTGCCCACCACAGTTAAAGCATTGTGAGGTGTTTGGCTTAAGCTAAAGATTCAGTGCTTCATCTGCCAGCACCTTTTCTCCCTGTATGCCCAGTCCAGGAAGGCCGAGTGGTCCGGGTAACCCAGGAGGTCCGATGTCACCCTAAACAAACACATACATTATGCACAATAAAACTGTAGAGAACAATGTTGTATGATAGGGCCTCTCATCAGGTTCTGGCATGCTAAGGACATAAGTTGTTATCAGTTACATTTCTGGAATTTGCAGATATCACCTAAAAGATACTGTAGCAACAAAACCACAAGCCTCTGGCACATGACCAAGTGAGACATAATTAGGAGCTAAGGCTAGGAACTGTGCTGTTTGCACATGATTTTGGCCGCAGGCTGGATAATCTGCAGCAAACATGCCGTAGCTCGTGGTCTCATAAGCATAGTGAGGCACTTACATAACAAAGCCGTTAAATCTGTGATGACTTTCTATGCGTGAGTGAGTGTGTCTGCTCTCACTGACTGACAAACACACAAGCACAAACAACCCAGATAGCAAACTGTGATTAACAGACCATCTGAGGCTACTGACACCTGTTGCTTTGGCACTGGATAAGGGAGTGGTATGGATTTAACAAACGTAAACAGTCTGTGGACAGGAGAGAGAATATGTGACATTATCTATAAATAAAATAAAAATGGGGGCGTTACCTTAGTAACACTTTATTTAACATTGGATAGATGCACCAGGAAATTATGTGGTCTTTTTAAGTTCACTATCTGTGGTGTCAACATCAGCTATTGTGGACTATTCAGTCAACTATACAGTGGACTATTTGCAGAGATTGTGTTAATCAGTATGTTTTCATTCCATTTTTTTAATAGTAAACGTTAATGTTAGTGATGTTACTGCCCAAACACTGAAGTAATTAACATTGTGATATCGGTTAGCTGACATAGGGACACTGTCTACAACCTGGCCATTTACAACACTGGACACTGTACGACATTAACATTAAAAAAAAAGCTTGTAGCCCCTGTCAATATATGTGCGCCCTTGATATTCTTGTTTATTAGTGCAGTCACCGTAATGTTTTTACTTCTATGATGTTTTCTGATGCATGAAATACTGAAGTGTGAAAAGGTTCTCTGATTGTAAGCACACTGAGTATGATGTTTAGAAGAATGAAGAGCCCATTTTCATGGCCGTGATGCATGTATGTGTTACCTTGTCTCCTTTAATGCCAGGTCCTGTTGGCCCCCTTTGTCCTCTTGGTCCCTCAGGGCCTCTCTCTCCCTGTGTAACAAAAAAAAATGTTTGTATCACTCTATCACTATGTTTCATTCACTTGTTAAGTCATTCACTTTACACTACGTAGTATGGCATATGTGTATGTATCAATATAGTGAACTGATACATGAGTTATAAAGCACTCTAGAGTGATTCCACACACAATCTTTTTAAATCAGTCTTCGTTTCCTTCCATGCTTCTCTAGTCTGTAAGTGTATGTATGTAATAAAAATATGTCACTTATGTAAGAATATGCAAGGAAATATGCAAGGAAATTTTAACCTAAATTTATCCTTAACCTCAAGAACCAAGAAGACACTGCCCATTTAGTTGTAAGAAATAAAATATGGACATTTTCATTATGTTGGTCCTCATATTGTATTGGATATTAGAAGCATTTTTCAGCTTCTGCTTGTATGATTGTGTTGTCCCCTCTTAGAGATCATATTAAAGGTGTTGTTAGCAGTGTCTGTGAGGAATGTTACATGTAAGAACAGCAGACTGCCAAGGTCCAGTGAAAGCCACAGAGCTGTGATGGTGCATGACTCACAATCAAAACTAACTAGTGCTTTAAGAACTCTATAACCCCTCAGGCATAAGAGTTATGTATGTAACTATACAGAGACAGGATTTGCAGTAACTCTCTTTGTCTATAATGCTGAAAGTCTGACTCTGTGGTGTGTGCAAGGAAAGACTTAAGTTAAAACACCTTGCAATTGCACTGATAGATGGAAGAATGGATTCTACTAAATATCAGCCAATACTAGAGATGTGACACAAGTGAGTCAAGATACTGAAGCCTAAAACAGGCTGGCTTCTACAACAGGTCCAAAACATACCTCAAAATCCACTATGAACTACTATGAAATCCACTATGAAGCTTTTGTAATGGCTCTCATTGTTGACTTGAATGTAATTGAAAATTTGTGGGTAGATGTTAAACATTCTGTGCATACAAGACAGACCAAGAATATTGCAAAAGTAGAAGTATTATGTAAGGAAGAGTGGGTGAAATTCCTAAAACAAGAAGAGAAAATCCTAGGTGGCTACAAAAAGTGTTTGCAATACCTGCCTATGGAGGTGATACCAAGTACTGACTTAGTAAGGTGTAAAACTTGGCAATGCCACAGTTATTTATTTTATTCTTTTCTTTTACTAAGTTAATCAAATAAAAAGTAATAGAGCATTACCATTTGAGGATTGTTTTAACCTCTGCTACAGAGGCTGTGTTTTTTTAACCTCAAAAATCCACAATATATGTCATTTGGCCAGGGGTGCCCATATTTTTGCATACAACTGTATCTATATCAGGACAAAACTTTGTATCTTCATTTTTTTTTGTTTTTTTTGTTTTTTTTTGACATACTTTAATAGCACCAGGTACTCTTTACATTGTATGAAAATTTCACAGAGAATGGATCAATAGAAATGGTCCAGAATGATTTAATTGCATGAATTACGTTAACTATATTAATTAGGAATCTTTTTTCCTGTGTTGTAGTCAAGACCATACAAGGCAAATCCGAGTCAAGATCAAGACCTGAATATATCGAGTCTGATTCAAAACTGAGACTTTTTAGCAGTCGAGTCTGTGTCAAGACTTATACAAGATTAAGATCTTTTTTCAGAAAATGAAATTCATTTGTGGTTCATTGTAAATTCATTATCATTCAATATACATGACATATAATAACAAATAATACAAATTATGATGTGTAAAATGTAACATTAAATAATACATAGCTTGAAAATATTATTATATCATAGTCTTAATCCAACTTTGTATTGTAACTTTTGAAAGCAAATGATGGTGAGGTTATTCTCTGTACTTTCTTCTCCAAAACAAAGTGTGAAATTTAACTACATATATGCCCTAAAAAGACCAAGAGTCCAAATGATGTCTAGACCGATGCAAGAAAAGACCATGAATTTATGGCTTTAAGACTGGACTTGAGTACTATAACGCTAGATTTCGAATTTTTTTTGCAGGTGTTCAAAACAATTTATCTTCACAGCTAAAACACTACACAACAGTAGTGGAATGATGTGAACATGCATGCTGGGTTTGTCTTCACTCTCACAATATTTTGAATAAAATACGAATTAATAACGATGATGACTATAATCATGTTATTGTACAGTTTACTAATGAAACTATAGCTAGGAGGCAGGAGAAGTGCTGGAGTGAGTGTTTGATTGGTGCTAAACTCTCATTCAATCAGTGCTTTAGATGGCATAATTAATAGAATGTTTGTTCTCACAGCTTTGCAATGTGATGTACACCCCTATTATATAACATTAGAATAAATACACATAAACCTAAATACAGTAAAACGCAACATAAATTGTCTGAGTAATTAATATCTTGGTTAGAAGAACACAAGTTTGGTTCCTGACTTCTCACTACACTCATCATGTATTGGTTTAATTTCTATTAGCAGCACATCTAAGGATAGCTCAGCTGAAGCAGGTATTAGACAGTAACAGTAAATACAGGAACTACTTGAGGAGAACTTTGAAAATGGTTAAGCTACACACTCACAAAAAGTCACAATGGATTTTTAAAAAATATATTTATTCTAATGTTAGCATTTTTGTAAACAAATCAATGCTTGCTGCCCTGATAAATAGCTTTGTATATACATTTTTCTTTCTAAGAAATGACTGTATATACAGAGAGAGAGAGAGAGAGAGAGAGAGAGAGAGAGAGAGAGAGAGAAAGATGTTGTCTGCTAGACTGTTCTGCATTTAGACACTTTTAGGCCCAGCATCTGTCAGCCATCAGCTCTTGATGTATGTTCTTCCTCTCTCATTTTCCTCTCTCTGTCTCAGAGGAAAGTGTGATGCTCTCTGATCACAGCTGATTATCAGATGGCAACATGCCCATACAGTGACTCACACAGATTCCTAGTTTAACTCAAACAGATTTAGATCTTTGACATCAGAGCAAGGAGTTAATTTAAATAGCATTCACACGTAAAACAGTGGAAGCTCTGTCTTACAGGAAGTCGTCTTTTTTAAAATTTGACAAAAGCACATAAATCTGGCTACTGTTGCCTCTGCTATAGCTAGCTATAACATGTCATCAGTGTCAGAATTCAGAAAGTCTACTGGCCCTTATTCATCAAAGTTGTGCATCAAAGTTGTCAGTCTATTTTGAGGCAAGTGTCTGATGATTTAGGCACATGGTTTGCACAGTGCAACTTGGTGGGCCATAAGCTTCCATTACTTGTTAGCTACATTGTGTTACTTCCACTACATGTTAGCCCTGCAGTGTCAGTACAAGAATAATGAAGCAAACTTTACACACCAAACACGGAAATCAAACATATGTATACAGCACAGTACTGAGGTGTAAAACACTCAAGGCTGAACTGACACCCACATACACTTTTCACGTCGTAGACTAGAGACAGTAATACACGTGCATATACCTTTGGTCCAGGAAAGCCCTCTCCTGCAGGCCCTTTCTCCCCTTGCACACCTTGTGGCCCCTGAGGTCCCTACACAACAAGTAAGAACATACAAAGAACAAGTCATGTATTTATTATTTGTGTTTGAATATATGACTGGCTGACTGACTGATGGAATTACTGACTGAATGTCTGACTGCAGGACTGATTGATTGATTGATTGACTGACTGACTGAATTACTGACTGGCTGAATGAATGAATGAATGAATGAAGTATATAATTACTGGTAAGCCAGGTTCACCAAGCCCAGGTGGGCCAGGAGGCCCCATTCTGCCCTGGAGTCCCATCTCACCCTACACACACAGAGACACACACACATACAGTTAGGCAGCAACCTCTTCTCTAGCCCCACAAACTGTTCTTTTTTCCTTGTGCAGTCTTTTCACTGTGTTTGACTTTATCAGTTTTGTCATCCTCTAGCCTTTGATCAGTGATTAGTTAGCTTGCTTTTCTGAATTAGTTTATTATTAGTTTATTATATACACAATGGCTCGATTTACAAACTGGTCTTAAGATGTTATTTAGAATGACTTGTTTATATGTAGTATTGTTTTGTAACTCCTTACCTTTGGCCCAGGAAGCCCTATTCCAATTTCACCCTGAAGTCCTGGTGGACCAGGAAGGCCTCTCTCACCCTTAATGTGCATCACAAAACACACACAAACACATGTAATTTCACTGCAAACTGCTGAGTTCATCATTAAGGTGCCCCTTTGTTCTCTTACACATTATTTTTGATTTTACTAATTTGCTTAAGTGGTGGAGGCTGCTCCTTAAGGTAAGCTAATGCTACAGCTAAGACTGGTGCCAACCAGAACAGTGTTATAGGGTGAATAGCACTTGTATCTTTTTCACATGGTCTTTTAGCAAATCTTAATGAGAGCAATGCAAAGGATGGCATAAGTGCGAGTACCTTAACACTTAATCACAAATACAAGCACAACTGTCCCACTGTACACCCCTGTAAATCTCTTCTACTCCTCAAATTAAGTTCCATCTACAGCTCTCTGAGAACCCCACCATCCTTTAGCAAGTCCAGACAGTAGCCTACTGCTCAGCTGATGCATGACAGCCTTCTAAGGGTCTAAAGAACATTCCTGAAAAATAATTAAGCTTTGCCTTGTCCTTCGGAGCTCCTGTGCAATCACTAAGAATTGCCGAGAGCTGATGAATGTCAAAGACTATCACACACTGAAATAACAAAGATGGCTTCTTGTAAATGTTGTGTAATATCATTTAAAAGCATTTTCAGCATCATTCTGATGTCAGATCATTTCATTTTTCAGGCACAAACGTAAACTAAAACCTTACTTTACTATACACTACACTAGGCTCCATCTACACACTACACTATACTCAGTATACATATATAGTACATTATACACAGTCTTTACAGTACACAAGACTGTCTATGCAGTACACAAGACAGTACAGTACACTACTATCGGTCTATACAGTACATTACACGCAGTCTATACAGTACACTGCCCTAGACAGTCTAGACAGTCTATACAGCACACTAGACTTAGTCTGTACAGTACACCATACACAGTCTATGTCTAGAATCAGTCAATTTAGTGCACTGCAATTAGTCTACACAATGGAAAAGTCTTAGTCTATGTAGTTCTCTACAATCTTTTTATGTACTGTATTGAACAAAGTTTACATAGTGTAATAGCAATAGTCTATATAGAGCACTAGAATCAACATTATGTAATGTATTAAACTTAGTCTATACTGTGCACTCCAATCAGTGTATATAACGCACTAGGCTGAGTCTTTATAAAGGGACAGATTTGTGCTATTTCTGCTCCAGAGTACAGAGAGTTATATTCATGTTCTTCTGCTTGACCACCTTAGAAATCCTGGACTGAAAACAGTGATGGGTAAGATCTTGTGTTCGACTGATGTTGCAAGTGACTCACTTTTTTCCCTGGTGGACCCTCAGGGCCAACATCACCATTAGGTCCAGGCAATCCCTGCATTTGCACAGAAAACAACCATTAAGCATATAGCTATTTGTTCTAAGCCAATAAGCTTTCTTCACTCTTCATTTAAATGTTTAAATATTGTGCTTTGTTGTGTATTTGTGTAGTGTAGCGTATTAATTACCAGCAGTAAAGAAGAATTTCCACCTCATGTAAATTTATTGGCCAATAAAGTATACTTATCCTGATAAAGCTCATACCTGCAGCCCACGGCTTCCTCTAGTGCCCACTGGACCCTCAGGTCCCTGTTAGGAGCAAATGATATATCTATTGTTTGTAATAAATTCAAACAAGGTCTATATGAGGATGAACTCAAATACTGTTCAGTGGATAAGACATACTCTGTCTCCCTTTACTCCAGGCATTCCACACTCTCCTCTCTCTCCCTGGCAGCGGGATAAACAAGAAAACATAGAGGATGAGTTTTTACTGAAACACCAACAACTACATGAAGATAAGCAGATACAAAACCATACAGATGCAGAGACAATCTATAACAAAACGTTTGGAACAATCCCACGAGCTCTTACCTTCTCTCCTTTATACCCAGGTTTGCCCTGATGACCAAAGAACAAAGGAATTTTAGCAGCAATTTCAAAACTGTCTTTTAAAAGCAAAATTAAGATCTTTCATTTTACTCAGGCCTTTAGTTTTTCATATTTTACCATGCTTCTTGTAAACACCTCAGAAGTTCAGTCTTAGAAATTGGTTGAATTTTTCGCTCCTCATGACCAATCTAATCCCAAACACATTTAATATTGTTAAGGTCTGGATTCTGGGATGGTCAGTCCATTGCCCACTGAAAACACCCGCAGCTTCTTTGTTTGATTTGCAGATGTTCTTCTTTTTGTTTATCTCCTTTTCTTATTAACACCTTCCTGACAGCTACACACCCTTTCAGACCCATAGTGTTGAGGTTGTCTTCTCACAGTGGACAATGGACAGCAACACTTGTGGATAACTTTTACTAATTTATATTTTTGAATTACTTTTTCTTTCAGTTACTTTTGCTTTTCACATATTTTAGTATCCAGTCATCAGTGCAGGCATACACAAAATACACAAGTTTTTCCCTGAGAACTAAGACACAAACAGACTTATACACATACACCGCTTACAATCAGACAAGGCACAGGTGTACTTGAATGTGTATTAACAGGTCCAGCATATGAGGGTATGTAAACTTTTGACTGTGTAATTTCAGTTATTATGATAAACATAGTAATTGCAAGTTTCTGTGATGATAAATAGCTTAATCTGAGCTTTAATACTAAACAGAACAAATGTGTTTTATATGATCAATCATATTAAGAATGGTATAATGTATAATGACAATAAATAGATAGTAATGACCCAAAGAAAGAAACACTAACCTGCCCTGGAATCATTTTCTACACTTCTTTACTGTACTTTACTGGTCATTTGCTGACTTATGTCATAACAATTATTAATAGTCCTAGCTTTTTCTTCGTCAAATCATTTTCATCATTATTGGGCGTTGCGCTTAAATATATAAAGAAACATGCTGATTTAAAAAAAAAATGCTACTGCAAAAAGCAATAAAGCTGAATTACATATTGGTAAAAAAGCATAAGCCAGTGTCAATCAAGCTTCCAACCAAACAAACAAACAAACAAACAAACAGACTAAGCATCAACACTCACCTCTGACCCCTCTCGACCTGGAAGTCCTTGATGGCCGCTTTCTCCCTACAGTGAGCAGGAGGCTGCATGTCAGAGACTTTGACCCTTACAAAGAAGACAAGAGATACAACAAAGTACATTTCTGACCTTCTGCCCTTTTGGCCCTGGACTTCCATCTTCACCCGGCCGACCTTTCTTCCCCTGCCATACAGAAAGAGAGAAAGAAAAACTGCAAGTCATACTGTAAAATGCAAAGCTATTTGGTGCTAATAAGACAGTACAGTATAGCGGACTACCTGACCACAGTTACTGAAGATTTACCAAAAAATACACAAGAAATCTGAGCTACCAAATAAACAAAGAAAATAATAGCTGTGAAAAAACTTAGTTGTGAAATTAGTTGCACTTGAATCCCCAGTGGAACTAAGGGGCCTTGCCCAAACCCTGAAAAACCCTGAAAAAAGCTGTTGGCATTATGCATTCCACATTTCTTTTATAGCATAAAGGTAAGCATTCTTATGTAGCTATCAGGTCCACCTGCCTAATGCTGGTTAGGTTGTCAATAGGTCTGTGAAATGAACTTGCTACACAAACTGGCTAAACTGTCTCACATCTGCAAGCCTTATTTGATTGATCACTGGGAATATGAAGAATATTTATTCCTTAATGGTCTTGAGGTGTGAACTACAGAGAATGAATCTAGTTTTGCATTTAGGTGGTACCAATAGACGCTGTATGCACAGTTTTTCCATGTATGTGCAAGAACATTCTTACACTTCTGCAGCTGTCCTGGTACAACCCTGCAAATGAATAAATGACTTGACATTAAGCAGAAAGTAAAGGAATTCTGTGAATGTGTTTTAGCTTGCAGTTAATCTTCTCTGGAGTTGCAGTGCTTGAGGCGATTGCTGAAGGTACACGCACTCAATTATCTCTGTGTGTGAGTGAGAAAACTGGAGAAGTAGGGGTGCAGAATGGGTACTTGTTATCAAATCAAATTAAATCAAATCAGCAAAGTGTGATTTGCCTGAGGCCCCCAAACTTTTGCATATGACTGTATCTTTGTTGCAAGCACCTATTGTCTATGAACAACTCAGCTGAAAGCTATATGACAGGGTTAATTGTGACAGAGTGAGGGGCTGGTTGTGACAGTTGCTGTAAAGCAAGCTTTCCAACCTAAATACAAAAAATATATGCAGTAAGAAAATATGTGAAAAAATGCTTTGTTAAGCCAATTTATTTTTGACCACAAAGTAGAACAGTAAATTTCAGAACGATAAAATCAAAACATATTTTGATAACATCTGTTATATGTTTTATATGAATCAATGAATAAAAACAAACTAACAAAACTAACAAAAATCTAACTTTGAGGCTTAATTGGAACTAGGTCAAAACTAATCCCTCCAGGCTCTCTGCATTTTGTGTCTTCCACACAACTCAGTAATCAGTAAAACAATATGAGAAACTTTACTTGGTAACACTTTACTGTAGGTCAGGTTCATGATTCATCCAAATGACATGAAAATTATCTAAGCCTTTCACAACAGCTGACATAAACCTACATGAACATTTATTAAGGCTTATTGCAATAAGCAGCAGCTGTTATAAAGGTAAAAAGATCTGACTCTATGAATCATCGTTTTGAGTGCCAGAACATTTAGCAAACACTTTTCTGCTTGCCTGCCCTTGCTATGGTATCACTTGAATTCATTCATGGATTGGTGGAAAGAAAACATTTGACAATTGTGCCAAGATGAAAGATCGTCGTGCATATTTTCTTTTCGAGCAGTGAATATCATGAGTCATTCTTACAATTCTTTATTACAAGGGATATTATCCCTAATGCCCAGAAAGCAGTGTGTTTCCCTGCTCTGATATGTTGCTTTGGATATGTATTTGCAGACCACAATGATCATACACTGCTAGACTTTGGATTTGTAATGCGATGCTGTTTAACAAGGTTTTGTGAGATCTAATGTCATTATCATAACACTCATATTCCTGTTTCCACTTCCACCAACTCCTTATGTTAATTTGTGGATTTGTGATTTCATTGATGGAGTGCATTTGTGTTTGGATCAGGTTTGTGTGTGTTGACAAGTTGGCTGCTGCCCCTACAGTTTATTGTGCCCCACCAGACTTTTTGTGGCAGAGATGCCACGGCTGTCATAACAGAGTATAAGTACCAAAACCTTCACAGTATAACTACAATACATTATGTTTTTATTTCAGAGTTAGCACAAAGTGCCAAAGCATATTTTAGATGTACTTACCTTTGATTTTGCACCCACTTGCTCTTGTCAAATTGTGAAACTGTGTAACATAATCATCATTATGTATTTGACATACCAAAAACACACTGAGCTACAAGATCACCTGTCATAATGTCATGATATTTTATCCCAGAAAGTGTTATGACACACCTACTGTCAGCAACATTCACTTGACATTATGTCAACTTGACATGGAAGATGACAAAAGCAGTCTTTATGGCAACTGTCGCTTATTGGAAGAAGTTCATTATTATTTCTCCTATCCATTAAGTGGTCCTACATTGCATGTGCATATCACTTGTATAGTGTAGTAGCTTAGTTTTTCTAATGCTTTATTATGTTTTGAACAGTAATTCAGCCTTACTTTAAGTGTATTATACATACTCAGCTTAATGTTATTACTTGTCCTCTGAAAAGGTGACTTAGGCTATAAAAGTATCCAAACTATAGTATGTAGGGAGCTATGATATATGGTCAAAAATATGTGGACCACTTGACCATCAAACCTATATAAGCTTGTTGGACATCCTATTCCAAAACCATGGGCATTAATATGGAGTCGGCCCCACCTCTGCAGCTCTAACAGCCTCAACCATTCTGGTAAGGCTTTCTGCAAGATTTTGTAGTGTGTCTGTAGGAATTTATGCTCATTTAGTCAAAAGAGCTTTTATGAGGTCAAACACTGATGTTGGATGAGAAGGTCTGGCTCGCAACTGACGTTCTAATTCATCCCAGTGGGCTTGAGGTCAGGACTCAGGCCACTGGAGTTCCTCCATGCCAAATTCATCAAACCACATCTCTATGGACCTTGCTTTGTGCACAAGAGCACAGTAAGCTGGAAAAAGAGACGGCCTTCCCCAAACTGTTGCCACAAGTTGAAAGGAAATAATTGTCTAAAATGTCTTTGTATGCTGCAGTATTAACATTACGCTTCACTGGAACTAAGGGGCTGAGCCGAATCCCTGAAAAACAGCCTGAGACCATTATTCCTCCTCCACCAAACTTTACTATTGGCATTATGCATTCTGGAAGGTAGCTTTTTGCTGGCATATGTCAGACCCAGATCCAGATCGGACTCTCAGATAGTGAAGCTTGACTGATCACTCCGGAGAATGTTTCCACTGCTCCAGAGTCCAGTGGCAGCGTGCTTTACACCCGTCCAGTCAACACTTGAAACTATGCATAGTGATCATAGGCTTGTGTGCAGCTGCTCGGCCATGGAAATCCATTTCATGAAGCTCCTGACGCTGATGTTGCTTCCAGAGGCAGTTTAGAACATTGTAGTGAGTGATGCAACAGAAGGACAGGTGATTCTTATGCTTTACGCATTTCAGAACTCAGCGGCCCCACTCTGTGAGTTTGCTTGGTCTTCTGCTTTGTGGCTCTTACAGCACTTACAGTTGACTGAGGCAGATCTAGCAGGGCAGAACTTTCATGAACCAATTTGTGGCAAAGATGACAGTGCTATGTTTAAAGTCACTGAGCTCTTCAGCATGACACATTCTACTGCCAGTGTTTGTCTAAGAAAATTGCATGGCTTGATCTTATACACCTGTGAGCAGTGGGTATGGCTGAAATCCCTAATTTCAATCATTAGGAGGTGTGTTCAAGGGCATATTCCAGCGAAAACACAGTAGTGGAGCAAAACAGGAAAGAGTAGTTTCCATTTTTTGGGGAAAAACAAGAGATAATCAGATGTGTTGGAAGTGATCAACACAAAGAAGAAGATGCTGCATGAGGCTGGCAGCAGTTTTCATGAGAATTCCAAAAAAAGGCGTTTAACATGGTTGATAAGCAAACAGAGATGTTTTTCTGTTTTTGAAGGTTTCCATATGGACTATTCTACTGAATTAGCTCAAACTGTAAAGATAAAAAACAACTATTTAAAAACAATTAAGTATTCAGACCTTAGATATTTATAAGGATTATGTTATGATCTATTTAAATACAAGGCATTAACAGAGATAGTAATAAGCTGTGTGTATAACTGTTCAACTGTTCAACAACTTTTCAAAGCTGTGTTTGCAAGTCAGGTACTGGCTAGTAATAATTGTCACTACCGAAATAGTCACTACTGACACATTTGCTAATGTTTCAGTAGTGTTCTGATTGTTTTTGTAGTGACAAAACAGAAAATTTAAACAATTATTTTAGTAAAAAAAAAACCTAATTAAAGTATAGTGTCATTCAAAGCAAAAGGATTTTAGTCTAAAGTTCAAGTCCAAAATGGGAACCAGTTTGATAGAATGAGCCATACAGGGTGATTACATTTAACAATTTAGCATTGAGTTCTGGCATGTTAACCCAGAAATGTCCTATATAAGCTGATGTTTTCTGTAACTTGAACTGCATATGTCTCTTTACTATTTGTTCATTCACAGGGAAATTTCTCCAAATATGTCATAGGTCTTTACGTATTAATGCCACACACACAGGCTCAAATGCACAATCAACATTAAACTGATAAAGACATGATACCAATGGTAGATCATTGACTTACATCCTCAAAAGACACACCCTTCATCAAGTTTTGACTGAGTTCTCTTCGAATATTCCTTCCACACACTTTCAATCATCAGGTTCACCCACTTGGGGAAGGAGTCTGAAGCCCACCAGACCAGAGAGGTCTCCAAATCTTACATAGTGTAGCTGTATACTGAATTTCATCCACTTTGCAAAACTTCATAAACATGTAGAATTACACAATTGTGCATGGAAGGATACACAACAGAGGGAGCTTTGTCAGGACAAAGAGAAACTACATCTCCACTGAAACCTCTCTTTGGCCCATTTCACAACATTATCACAACTTGTAGTACTACATGGAGTAACTGGAGTGATTATAAGTGTTGTTTTGCAGTGGTCATTGGGTTTGAAGAAATGAAGTGGAAAACATGGGTACTCACAGCAGGGCCACTGGGTCCTCTCTCTCCTTTCTCACACACACACCTCTTATTCAAGGGACACTGTAAACACACCCAAAATGGTCCACAAGATGATTGACACTGACGTATTCACAGCAAGTCATATTAAAACACTCATGTTTCTCTGTCATTCAAATATCCACTTACCGCTTCATCTGCCAACTCCGTCTAAAAAGGAAAAAAAAGATTAATATTAACCAAATTATATCATGAATATACTACACCCATCAGATCATATATGTGTAATAATATGTGAGTGGATTGACTGCGTAGGAACAACATCATCTGGTGCTGAAGTATTCTAACTAATCTGGTGCGATCCACAGGAGCATGAGTTCCCATTTCAGTTTTGGCTTCTCTCAGTGTTTTTTCATCATACTCCTAGGGAGTAGTTCTTTTGAATCTTGGTTTATCTATATTACTTCCTCGTGCTCTTAGGGAGTTTTTCTTGACGCTGTGTCCCTCAGTGATGCTCATTAGTGGCTCTGGAACAAAACTTCAAGGATCACTATTTTAGATGGTAAAATATACCTGACAAGCATTTTTACTGCCTGAAATTACATGATAGATATAGTTAAAGCTTTGCTATGTAAGCCTGAAATAAAAATATAAAAGTGAGAGGAAACAGGCTGGATTTTGCAGGAGATTTTCAGACAATATTATACATCTTTGCAGGGTTGTGGAATGCAATCCCCAAAAAATACAACTGAACTGAACCAAAATTAACTGAATAAAATTAATTTAATTTAATTACACTGAATTGAATTTAGATACATGCTGGGCACCGAAGTCTGAACCACCATACCTTTGAATCTGGTTCAGTTTCTCTGTAGTATTGGACAGGGGGGGTAACCAAGGGGATGGCCAGTCGGTCAAACAAAAACCTCAGTCAAACAAAATGAGGGTCAGCCATCATCAGTAAAGCAGTCACCAGAGAAAAGGTGTCCAACCTACCCTGAGCGAATGGTTATGCTTTGCCATCAATGCCGGTGCCAATCAGTTGTGAGAGTCTAATGACACTGCACTTAATAATCAGTATAGCTTGCTGTGATAAACTACTTTGCTGAGCAGACAGGGGAGAACGCTGGACAAACCTTAACAAAGCTAAAAGCATCTAAATAAATTTCTACATCAGTACAATCCAGTACTTTAGTTTTGCTGTCATGCTCTGTATGGATCACATGGCTAAAGATTTTGCCCAGTATACTTGTTTCCACTGTGCGCTGTGTACTTTTAGCAGTGCTACTGGAATACATTCATGCTAGAATAGGTCAGTTTGTCACCCAGCTAGGTTTTCATTTAATAAGTTCAGGTGACTTTGGTGGAGACTGCAGAATAAGTTTGAGAGAAGAAGGCACAGAGAATAACCTTAACCATCATTTGCTTCCAAAGGTTAAAATGCAAAGTTGCACAATGACTATAATATAATAATAATGAACAATATTTTTAGGCTATATTTTATTTAATGTTACATTTTACAAAATATATTATAAAATATAATAATATTTACTAATATATGTCATGCATAATGAATGATAGCCAGCCAGTGTGCAATTAACTACTAAAGAGCTTCCGTTTTTGCCCATTTTTATATTTATTTTTATGCTCTGAAAAAATCTTAATGTGTTCCTGGTCTTTTCTTGGCCTTGACCACTCCTGGTCTTGACTCAGATTTGATGTGTCCTGGTCTCGGTCTTGACTTGAACTTGCCTCTAGAGTGGTCTTGACTACAGCACTATTGCATGAATGTAAAAAGCAGTAAATCGTGCCTTGTTGGGTCTCTGTGATTATTAGATACTTCAGAAGCAAATGGCAGACCCCTTCGCTAAATTCCTCTGTGGTGCCACCGTTGGCCCATGTGATAAAGTAGCCTCCATAACACTGCCTGAGAAAGATCCACTACTTTACAGCTTCTCTCTGCTGTTGCATTGTTTTTCTTCTGTACATGAAAGGCAGACATGGATATAGAAAGAAAAGACTGAAATTCCAGGGAAATGTAAACCACATGCAATGTTGAATGTTATACAGAGAGTCTCTGAGGGCCTTCTGTTCTGAGGGGTTCAGCACATTAGTGTCAGTGGTATTTGTCAAAGGAACATTCTCACATTGAAATATACTCTAAAAAATAATCTTTGTTGTTGGAGATGAAAGAGCACAAACACTCACTTTCTGCATTTCCAGCCTAGATATCTTAATTTCAGACCTTTTAAACATCAAAGCTTTGATTAAATGTCAAGAATTTACCCACACAAAACAGTGTAATTGTAACTTAAACTTCAGTCCTTAAAACGTATATTTTTCTTAAATACAGACGATACCATTTCTATGAAGAGCAGGAAAAGAATAGTCTGGAAAAGGGAACAAAATCTGGCTCTTTAAATGTTCAAAAACAGTGAATTGGTTCATAAACTAAGCAAACTGTGTAGACATTTTCTAAAAGTTAAACTAATAGCGCCACAGGAAAAAATCTCTTAAAAAGTAATGGCACTTGTTAAAACAGCTACCTCTTTCATTGCATGATCTAGTTTGTAAGAAACTTCCAGTGTTCAGTTAAGTTTATGTTAGATGAGCTCACTGGTTTACTTAGATACCCAGCTCCCTTGTAATGAATGGCTGACATTAGCAGGCATATTAGTTCAGTGTCAGTGATAATTTCACTCAAGTCACATTGGCTAATGCTAATTTACCATTTTAAACTGAGCTAACTGATTGAAATTTCTAACTAAAAACACATGAATTACCAAAAATATTAATTAAATCGAGATTAGAAACCCAAGTAAATGTCGTCAAGGTTTGTCGAAATTAGATAGCAAAGCTACACTTTTCTTGGTGATTGCAGAGCTATCAATTCTTGCCTATGTTTACATACTATACACATCACATGTGTTACCACTGAGACTGAGTAGGTGAGTAGGCTTCATCATGATTTCCCATTGGCTAAAGGGGCAGCAGGCTGAACCCAAAGTGCATTCAACAGTCGAACAACTATACGCAGTTTCCCCATGAAAATAGTTACTGAAATTTTCAAAATCCAAGCCAGAACGCCATTCCCTCCCAACTTTTACTTCCAGTACAAGGTTTCCTGTGTGTTCCAGCACATTTACACCCTGACTAATGCATTCTTAAAATTATAGAAGCATAAAAAGCACACATCTGTATTTTGGTCTCATTGTGAGCTTCGATGCAAAAATAAAACAGCATATCAAATTGTTTACTGCCATATGCCTCCTTCATCTCCAAATCAATGTGGAAACGCCCAAGAGCGGTGAGCTGACAAAGCTGATGCGGCAGACTGTGGTGAGAAAAAGTGCAAGCGAAAGTGTAGCTTAACATAGCTAACAAATAATTAAAACTTAAATGCAAGCCAGTTAGCACTGTGCAAAACACGTCAAGTTGGTAAGTCATCTGAAATGGGCTTTTTATGTGGTTTCTGACACTGTATGATGTACTGTTATATATTAACCCTTAGATGAGAATTATAACTTAAATCTATAGCAATATTCAATACTGTAATTCAAATGTCAAATTTGATCACATAATAAATAATACAGTAAATTTCCATCAATTTGCATTCTGCATGAACAAGGTTTAGTCTGTACCACATTCCGATGTCAAAAAATGAAATGGCCATAGTTCCACAAAACAAGACTCTAAATACAACAATAATTTTTCATCAAATTCAAATCATAACAAAAGATCTCCTCTACTATTCACAAACACAAATGTGGTTTGGCAATGAGCTGTCAGAAATAACTGAAACTGAATCAAACCATGCTTTCATTATAACCAAATACAAATTTTAATGGGTAAAATGGACAAAACATGCCTTCCAATCTATCCTTTTTTAAGATGGCACCTCTGCCATGTCCCTTACTGTACCTGAACATTCAGCTGTGCTTACTGAAACCAGGAGAACTAAAGAGAGAAAGGAAGAGTTTAAATGAAAGCACCTGGTTACCAGAGAGGAGAGTGTCTGCGTGACCAAACACTGATGAATTGCAGATGGTACTAAGTCAGACATTACACATCACTATCAGAGAACAAAGGAAATCTACACACAGGCTTTAGTGTAAAAATACAACAGCTCTCTTCACAGTGCACCCAGGTAACCTTGGCTATACAGTAGATTTACGCAACGACTCCTCTTTTTAATCTGGAAAAGGGGAAAGATTTATTGCGGCAGAATGGGAGAGAGAGAGAGAGAGAGAGAGAGAGAGCGAGAGAGAGAGAGAGATACCACAGGCCAAAGGTTTGGAAGCAACATGAATTGTTTCAAACTAAACATGAAAATCATATTCTTTAACAAAAAAATACGTATATTTATATTATTATTTATTTGTGGTGATAGGATGCAACAGTGCTTGAGACTTGTTTTCAGACTGGAAGTTACACGATGCAGACCAAACCGAAGTGGTCAGCCAGTGATTAAAAGAAAATTGGCAAAAGATTTTATCTTATATTTGACAATAATGACAGTCAGTGTCCTACAAACTAAGCCATGTTAAGTAAGTTAAGGTCAGCATTTGCTGCCGTCCACCTGCTTGGATATATCCTCTTCCCCTTAAGCCTTTTCATTCATTTCTTCTTGGTGCCATCTTAATTCTTTGCAGTTCTTGCTGCTGCTGTCCATCTCCTCATGATTCACGTGTGAAAATATATAGAGCACTGTAGCGATGGTCATGTCAAGTAAGGGCATTTATTTTGGCAGAAAAATCACATTTTATTGAAGGAAATAAGGCCCTCCAAGCTCAATTTTGTCTCTGTTGTGGAGGGGGGGTTCCTTTACTCTTATGGGAGGTCTGGGACCCCTCTAGCCCCACTCAATTTTATAATTTATGCATTTAATTGATAAGTAGATAAACATGAGAGAGCAATTTGAGGGAGCACATAATGCTGAGATGAGTGAAAAACCTCTTGAAAATGAATTGTAAAAAATTAAGTGAAAATGCTTTTTTCAAGTTCAGTTTGTGTTAATCGTTGTGATGAGCGTTGTACAGCTCTGGATAACAGCCAAAGCTAGCTTTTCCTTCTTCGGTGACTAGAAGGAAGACTTACTCAATACTGATTGGTCAGCTGTGATGTTTTTTGGCACTCAGCAAAAAAGTTGCCAGTTTTTCAAATTAAGTAAATAGTATAACATTTTTTAAATCTTTCCTTGGTTACACACT